TCCTAATTCAGCGGGAGGATTCAAAAGAATTTTCAAATTTTTTTTTTTCAAAAATTCAAATCAGACAAGCTAATAGTCTGAAAGCTAGGCTGCAAATTTTCTTCCAATATGATTTTATATTTTATTATTGTTTAAATTTATTGAACTTTTATAAATTTGCGCATAGAGATTGTATTAATAATTTTACAGCGCTATTGATACTAGCGTAAGTTAAAGCCCGATCATATGAATAAAAATTGAGATTGGTCAGAGCTCAAATTGTAAATGACAAAAAGAGCACTTGGCATTGATCAACCAACCCCTTTTTATTGTTCGTGCCCGCTCAGCATTCCGTCAACGTGACGTCGGCGAATTCCGTTCAATAGGAAGACTCGGCTGGAATAATAATAATAAAAAAAATATGTGCTATTGACTCTCTAGCAGCGGTGCGCGCCGGCTGATTGATTTTCATTGCACCTGCCGACGCGGATATGAATGTCTGCCGCATTGAATTGAGCCCTTTCTTTTCCTTTGTGTACTGCACAAGATATTGGATTGTGCTGGTGACGCCATCTTTGCAATAAATTACGCCTCCTACTTGATCATACCGTCAGGGTCGCGTGTGCGGAGAATTGAGGTGTTGCCAAAAAGCCCCTCTAGATTGCCCACTTTCGAGATACATGAGTTGCTCTATGCTGTGTGCATACAAATGAATTTAATACCAACATACTTGAAATTGAATGTATACAATTATACATGTTTTAATTGAATATTGTAGTAGTTCATTTATAGAAATTGTTTTATAAACATTATTTTATTTTATCACATAAATAGGCATAGCGATCCAAAATCCTGGGTCAGGTTAGTCTTTAGGATCTCTCCTCATTATTTTTAATTATATTGTAATTTCAGCCTCAAAAGAAATGAAAACAGATTAGACTATCCATGAAAGGCTTCGCAAAACTTTTTGCAGCAAAAGTTGTGACTTAATCCTAGAATGTGATCAGCTTAACTTTAAATCTGAGCCTCTGCGTAAACTAGCCTGACACTAAGTTGATAAATTGAGCTTAGGAAAATGTGTAGACCAAAGTAGAGCGAATTGTTACTAGAATAAAAAAAATCAAATTTTCTACATCCAAAAGATGAATAATTTTGATATAATAATTTCAACTTGTATGTGAGACAAACACGGTCGTCTAGCGAAGCACCCTGGAATGTTTTGTAAAGCTTTTGAAATTTCCGCAAACGACGTCGTCTGCACCGAGTCGCAAAAGTTCATTTCCTGTGCTCTCTGCTCTGTGCAGGGAAAAAAAACACATTCAGGCAAATAGCAAAAATCCAGTGCCAGCAGCACGCGCTGCGAAGGAAAAAAAATGAACGGATCTATCTGGGCGGCCGTGCCGCAAAACAAACATCTCTGTGCGATTTCGTGTGACAGCGCCCGCGGGAAGGCGACACATAACGACGGCTGCTGACACAATTTTCTCAGCCAGGTGTGAACCCTTGAGTTGAGAGAAAGAGCGCCTGCCTTCTCGGCGCATAGTGAATATTAATCACCGCGCACAGCAAGATAATGGCGCGCCGGAGAGAAGCAAAAAAATGATCCTCTCGGGGGCGGCAAAAGAGGGGACGTCAGCAAATTGCTAATTAATTTTGCTCTAGTCATAACGAGGATGAGTTTTGACAGTGAATTTTCCGTTGGCATTTCGAATTTCGATTAGCAGGCAATTCAAATTTCCAGCGGGATGCAAAAAAAAAACTCATTCACAGCTGCAGCCGGTGAAGTGCTCAGTGCTGGTCTAATCGCATTGGGGCTTCAAAACAAGTGACGATACACATTAGCTCACGTAATATCAAGGGAGCGAGGCCCGTCCACTGCTGCAGCAGCTTATTAGCTGCAAATACCCAAGTGCGCCTCATTGTGGAGGTTCAAAAAACCCTCTGCAATGGGGCATACCTGTATTTGTTGCTAGCAAAATACTATTTTTTCAATTTAAAAGTTTCAGATGAAAAATATTTGTCCTTAACTTTACTTTTAATTATATTTATAATCTTGATGGTCCATGAATTATAACGATCCCAATGATATATCATTCAATTGTCGCTGGAGCAGCAGGTTTTGCTATAGGAAGCACGGATCAGTAGATAATTGAAAATGGAAATTGGCTCATCATTCTGTTCCGACGAGCAAGCCGATTAGAAATAATTCAGCTAATTCAAATTCTCCACGCACAAAAGCAGAATCAATTACACATTCCACCCTCTCACATTCAATTTATTCAAACCGAACTTCTAGTCTGCGATATTTCGCCAGCAAATTACTGCCAGCAGGGACCTTTCTGGCGCCGCGGAACAAAGTTTCCATTTCCCTTCCAGCGTTATCTTGATCAGTTTGCCACTTTAATCACGAGCGAGGCACACTTTAATGCGCACAGGAAATTATCCTGCAGCTTTATTACCCACAAATGCCTACACCGGCGTATGAAAAACTAAAAAAATAATAATAAAGCTTAAAGTTGAGCCTCGGCCAATGGAGCGCGGTATTAAAAATCCACTGGCCCTACAAAGCTCTGTGATGCAATAAACGCCAAAACAAACGCATATCATCTTAATGTTCGGCCAAAAGTGGACGAGTGCCAAAACTGCAGAGATGGTTCTGGGCCAAATTTGCCCTCAAAAAATTTGATCTCAATATGGAGGTTAATAACAATGTATAATCAAAGGTGCAAAATAGCAGCAAAATCTGAGACATAGATACAACCTTGGAAACAAAATTAGAGGTTTAAATTATGATAAAACTATGAAAAGATATTTTAAAAGATTAAATTTTGTTTTGCCTTCATGATTAATAAATTTGAAATATAAATCAAATTTAAATATTTCGTAACCAACCTTTTTTAAAATTTCTAAAAGGTAACTATAAGCGGGGAGGCTATCAAGCAATTTCCCTAGACGACCGCAATTTTCACTCGACATTGCAGAAGGAAGGGTACTTGCGGCTTAAGTGATGATTGCAGGATAAGACCTGCAGTTTGGCACAAATCGATGGCGCGGGCCTGCAGAAATTGTTCCGATCGCACCACTTTCCCCAACTTCACTATCAATTACACGGCGTGACGCCACCCAAGCAACAATTACAGAAGGTTCTGCGTCAGAAAAAGGATACGGCAGTTTCCATGGTTACCGCAGTGCAAAAAGGTGGAGGCAATGATGATGATGAGCGCACGACGGTGCTTCATTCCGGCTATAAAACAATTAGCTGCGAGAAATGCGACGGGCCGGGCCAAATGCCCTTTATGGCGACCGCGGCGTTAAGAATTCATTAGGCGCTGAAATCTTTGTGGATTGCACGTGAGAGGCACGGGACGCTTTTACAAAGTGGTTCCATAGAGATTTTAAAATTGTTCAAAGATGCTTTGCATGATAAGAGTGTGAACATATGAAAGAGCACCCTTTCTGGTCTCGCAATTTTAATTTTTTTCAACGCGCCTTTCTCATAAAAGTCAACAAGGCGTGCTCTTGTCATATGAAAGGAAAACAAAGCTTTAATTTAGAAATGAAAATTTTCGAAGAAACGACCGTTGGCGTAAATGTACTTTTAATAATAAAGTATAAATTACAACTTCGCATTATTTTTAAATGTAAACTATCAAATGAAGTCTTCAATTCGATAGTTAATAAAAATATCATTAAAAAAATAATGTTTTGTTGGTTAATTTGCAGTGTTCACATTCCTAGTTGGGAAACTTAGCGTTAATCAACACAAAACTGAATAGGAATGCAAATAGAGTTTGAAATCAGGTCGCATTTTTATAAGCAGAGAGAAAGAAAAGAACAAAAGAATCTTAACGATCTCTGTCTTGTCACTTGGCTCTTTCTCACTGGCTCTCCTGGAATGGAACACTCTTCTTTTAATTTTAAAAGACGCGAAATTAGAGCCTTTTCGCTCAAGACGGACGTCACAGTGAATAATTTAAAGTCTCAGCAGCAGCGAGTGGCACTCGAGTTGTGTCGCTTGAATTATTTAGCCGCTGTGAGACCGTGTGTCCTGGCGGACGAAATGCAACTTTTTTCACTCTAGCCTATAATTTTGTGAAATGCCCACGGGACCTAAAATCTGACGCACATCCAGCGTTGAGCCGCCGAATGTGTATAAGGAAAAATGTGTGTTGCTCTCTTATTTCTTGGCCTGTGTACACTAACACATTAGCCGTGCATGCACGAGCGTGTAGCCATGGAAACGGGATGGCGAATCGATTTTCTCTTGCGTTCACGTCTTTTTAACTCTGCATGGGACATATTGCAGAGAATCAAAAATGAAAATTTTAAATTAGAGCCGTTCAATTTTTCTTAACTTCTTTTGGAAATTATTTCAAATTTATTTTTAACCTTTGTCACTGCTAACAAAAAAGTTTCAAAAAGCTGAACAAGATTTTGACTTTTACGATTCTTTGTCGCCACTAAATATTTATGAGAACGAGGCAAAAGTTGTGACAAGAACGCCGGCGCTGGCACAATAAGGACTGATTTTCTTTCCACTTCACTGAAAACTTGCATATGCGTGTTGGTTGCTTGGCGCCAGTAACAATATTTTGAAGAGGATTTACACAATAGACACGCAACTCGATTTTAAATATAGCAAACACTGTACCAATAATCTTTCAAAACGTGAAAATAGGATTTGACGGCACGATTCACTGGATGTGAAAGGATTCGCGTGCACCAAGTGTAAAGAGCGAAAGTGAAATTCAGAAACACAATTGATTAGAGGAAGTCGATTCGTATTCTCTGATTTTCCCAAATATTGATTCTGTATAACAAATATGAGCAACTTCATTCATTTCGGATTACGGCTCCGGCCATTTGGAAAAGCGGTTCAAAACTGGCATTAATATTTCATGCCTGAATACCCGCTGTGCCATCTCGGAACTTATTGTTAATTTGACTACCCCAAAGCGGTTAAGAGAGAGCTTGTGGCGTTGAAGATAAGAAGGAAAACTAGAAATTTAGCACTCACCGGTTAGACGGAAATAAGCTCTGGTCCAATCTCTTCTCCTCCTGGAAAATGAATTGAATTAATCAAATGCAAAGAGTGGAGATTTTAAAATAATAGAAAATAGACAGATTTAATACTTCGATATTACGTTATTATGCATGTTACGCAAACCGCGCTACATTTGTGTCCAGCGGGTTGCATAACCAGTTTTTAATAGGCGCCCTTCATTTAAGAACCACGATTCAATGAAAGCAGTTCAATAATGAAAAATTCCTATTCTTTTTCACAGGATTCTTATCATGGGACACGGACGTGTGCCACGTCGACTTAGAAAAGGAGCTAATTCATCTAGCTGCGCAAAAACCTGACGGAGAAGAGTCGAAGAATGGTAGGAGTAAAATTGTTAAAGTCAATTTTTACAGAACAATTTTAATTAGGGGAGCGACTAATTCAGTTTGCTTCCGAGAGCCTAGTGACTGAAGTTTTGATTCAACCACAGACAACCACATTAATACAATGTGCCAGGAATTTGTTGTCAAGTTTCACAAGGCACAGGCACATCATTCACGCCGGGTATACATTTGCTGGAAATGGTTCCTGGGCACTTCAAGTATATTTTATATTAACTATAAGAAATAACATTGAAAAATATAAAACAATTTATTTATTCTAGGACGGAACCTTTTCGCTTTTGGATTTTTTGGATGCTTTGCGAGAGCCCGAGCCGCAGAGGGTTATCAGAGCTTACGAAAACAACGTTTCTATCGACATACAGTGCTCAGCTGAGGGCGAATGGAGCACTGCCAAAATCTCCAAAGAACCTGGAACCAAGGGTTGCATAGTTAGGGTTAACCCTGACGATAAGATGACCGCAGGAAGCCCAGGCATAACCCAGTTTGTTGAGTACATCTCAAAATTTTTGACTCCAGCCGGCATAGAAGAGTTGCTTGAGCCTTCAGACGTGGTTGGGAACATCCGATTCAGTCACCCAACCCTCTACGTCTTTCCCGGAGGACAAGGTGACGCTGCCCTTTTCGGCATCAATGGCTTCAACATGCTGGTGGACGGCGGATACAGCCGAAAATCGTGCTTTTGGGATTTCACAAGGCACCTCGATAGACTAGACGCTGTGATGGTCACAAGAATTAACAACAGCAATATTGGAGGAATCGCCTCCGTGTTAAAAAGGAAAACTCTTGGATACGTATATCCCCAAATCGGGCACTTCTTTTGCAACATGCTGGAGCGCAGGTCGCTTCCCTCGCCCGACGGTGATAAAGACAGAGATCCTCTTCTGCTTGATCTGCTTGAAGAGGGGCATTCGCTCATCTCAAACCTTCGCACGCTTGAATTAAAGCCACACCCCTGCTACAGGGAATCTGTGATTGATCCAATTAATTTGTACCACAAAGTTGGTCACGGGAAATTGGATATGTATGTACTAAGCCCTGCTAAAGACTCAAAAGAAGTCAAAGAGTTCCTTGCTAAATGGTCAACTAACGACCAAAAATTATTTACATCGAGAACTTCAAAGCTGGATTTTCAATTTCCACTTTACAATCAAACTTCCATCTGCGCACTTTTGGTGTGGCAGCCTGCAAATCCGACTGACACGATCACTAGGATTTTGTTTCCTGGAAGTACACCACAACACAAAATTTTTGAGGGCTTAGAAAAAATCAAGCATTTAGAATTTTTGAAGTATCCGACGTGCACAGCAAAGTCAATGGCAGTAACAACAACAAAAACCAAATCCAAAATCTTGGAAAAACCAGTAATTGAAAGCAAATCCAGAAAAATTTTGCAGCAAATTGAAAAGCCAATTCCTGCGGAATCAAAATCAAAGCAACTTGAAGCAGAAAAAAATATTAAAAATCACTTGGCCGCACAGAAGTCAGACAAAAGGTCAGTGGGAAAATCTGAAGACAAAAAAGACTCGCCACCGACTCCAAAGAAAACAGCAGAAGGAAAGCCAAGAGTGGAAAAAATAAAGAGGGCAAAATCACCGACACCTACTCCTGCAAAGAGCGACAAAGAAGCCAATAACAGAAAGGTACTTGAATCAAAAATAGAAAGAACTAAAGCACCGGCAGTCAAATCGGCATCAAAACGTGATCCACCAAAGGAAGTAAAAACTGTTGCTGAAAAGAAAGCTCCGATCAAAAAAATTAAGCCACCTACTGCAGCAAAACCTTCACCACCTGTTTCACCCAAGAAGCAACTGAAACCAAAATCTAGTCCAAAAAAGATTATTAAGAAAGATGTGAAAACCAGTGTTAAGAAAATTGAAAGAGTAAAAACCAAGGAATCAAACACATCTGCTGTGTCTGAGAAACCGACAGAGACGAAGGTTTCAAAAGAAGTAGTTGCAACACACCACGTTGAAATTGAGGCAGCTGATGACGTTCTCACAGCAACAATTGTCAAAGATTCTGAGGCTATAGATGATGCCCAAGCGGAGACTGCAGAGACTGAAGTCCCCAGCGGTCTAGAGAGTCAAGCAGAAGATGTGACTGAGGAAGATATTTTGTCTGAGAAGCAGGGTGATGCAGAAGAAAAAGTTTCAGAGACTGATGGAGACGTTGATACTCAAATAGACGAAGAATTAATTACAGACGACGGGGAGAATAAACATATCCGAGATGAGGAGGAATCTGAAAAGGAGAGAGCTAAGAAGGACGCTGAAACAGCTGAGACAGACAAAAACGAATATGATAATGTCGAGGAAAGTACAGAAAAAGAAGAGAAACCAGAGGAAGAGATTGAAGTTGAGGTAGAGGCGCAGATTGAGGTACATGAAGAAATACAAGCCACACCTGAGGATCAAAGTGCGGACGAGGAAAAGGAGACAGAGGTTGAGGAAGTGATCGAAATTGAGGAAGAAAAGAGCAATGAACTAGGAATGGAACCGAAAGCAGAAGAGAAAGTTCATAAAACTGAAGATACCAAGACAAATGCAGCAGAAGCTGCTTCTGCAGAAGAAAAGCCAATGCAAATCGATGAAGATGAGCAAATTCAAAACAAAGAAATTGTGTCGGAAAGCATCGCCAATGCTGTGGAGCAGCTTGATGCACAGCAAGTTATTCTAGATACGAAGGAGAGCGAACTGAAAGAAGTTCCAGGCATTGAGGTCTCCAAAGTGACTGCGACGTACGGTACCGAGAACGCAGATGAAGCAGTAACCGACCAAGAAGTCGGAGATTCTGAAATTTTGGGCAATGAAACTGAACAAAAAGTTAGCAGCGATGTTTTAGAAGAAAATGTGGATTTCCCAGATGAAGGAAAAAAAGACCTGACTTTTGTTGAAACTGGAAAAAAATCATCCCCACCAGACGACGTGTCTGTGGAAAAACAAACACAACCTGAAAACATAGATCATTCGGAACCAGCGGAAGAAACAACATCTGATAAAAAGGATTATGCAGAAGAACTGTGCAATGTAGTTCAAACTTTTGAAATACAGGCAAATTCCGAAAATATCGAACGCGAGGGAAATAAAATAAGCGAGGAAACAAAACAAAAAATTGAAGGAGAGGTGAAGGAAATAATTACGTCAGCGCAATCAAAGATAGCAGAGGATGATGCCGTTATGGACAAAATGAACGATTCCGACATTCATCAATCTAGTCCAGACAAAGATGTTATTGCATTAGATGGTCAAGCTGACACATCAACTGATAAACAAAAAGAAGAATCTCCTCAGGAGGACAAAAAAGAAATTAAACCTGAGGAGGGGACGACAACAAAAAGCCATCCCGATGAAAAGCTATCTGCAATGGAAACTTCAGCAACCACAGCTCCGTCTATGCCAGAAGATGAGAAAATAGATGATAAAATTATTTTAGACGAGATTAAAGAGGAGAAGTTGGAAATAGAGAGAGCTGAAATCGCCGACCAAAAAGAAATTGCAGCTCCAATCATTGAGCCACTAAAAGCAATAAAACTAGAACAAGCACAATTGCAGCATCACAGGGATCTTGTTAAAACTCCAGACGAGGTTGCTGATTTGCCCATGCACGAGGAGGTTGACGCTTTGATGTACGAGAGCGTGGACGATAAGAAATTGGTCCAGGAAGAGAATAAAACGGTGCAAAATGTGGATGCTTCTCCAAAAATAAGTCCAGAGTTAATTGAAGAAGTTCAGATCAAAAAAACCGATATGGGCAACTTGCCACAAACAGATATTGCTGGCAAATCTGTTGAGTGTGTTGACAAAACACTGAGGGGAGAGTCTGGAGAAGGTGACGGAGAAGAAGAAACTTTGGATTTAGATGTTAAAAAAGAAATAATTGGGGAAAAAGAAATGCAAAAGTCATGTCTTGACGAGAAGGAGGTTGATACTTCTTTGGAAGAAACAAAAGATAAACTTAAAACCTCCGAGGAGCAGACAGAGGAATGTCGACCAACAGAATTAGCAATTAAGGAAGAAGTTGACGCTGTACCTGTCGGTGAATACCACAAAATTGATGAGGGAATTGTAGAAGATGAAAAGAAGGATGCAGAGAAAAAAGCTTCAATTGAAATGGCATGCATTCTTAAAGTGTGCAAAATCCTTTATAATAAATATTGTCATTATTTCAGGAAAAAACTAGTGGTGTCGTAAAGGGAAGCGAATTGCCTTTCCAAACTGTTGATGAATGTGCTGTTGATGCCTCAGTAAGTGCCCAAATCGGAATTGAAATGAGTGAATTCGAAAAAGTTATAGATGAGGAGTATGGAATTAAAATAGAACAGGATTTTCAAGGTATGATGTCATTTAAATTTAGTGAAATAATTAAATAGTTTCTTTTTCACCCGCAGAAAAAAAGCCCGCCGTGCTCAAAGAAGCTTTTCACGCTGATGAAAAAGAGAAAGAATCACCAAAAAGTGACAAAGAGGACAGCTCCAACAATGAAAAAAGAGACGAGATGGAACAGGGAAAAAATATAGACGAGGAGTCAAGAAATAGAGACGCGTTTATAGCGGACATAGATGAAATTGGTTCAGAAGCTGTTGGACGACGGCTATCACAAAGTGCGGAAGTAACGTCTACACAGGAAAAGCATGTTCTAAATGATTGTGGTGAAATTAAAAAGACCGTAGATGAGACAAAAGGAATTGAAGAAGAAATATCATCAAAACCTGAATTAGCATCTCCAAGCAGGTCACCAGGTGTTGATGCAATTTCTGATCAACACACAAGTCTTCCGCAATCACCACAACCTGAAATCATTCATGAGAGGGATGAAAAGACACCATCACCAGTTAAAGCTGCATCCCCTTGTCTTGAGACAAAAGAGCCATCAGATACGCCAACAACAATAGTACCCAATATTGATTTTGAAAAATCTAGGACATCTTCCCCAAAATTGACCGCTTCACGGCCTCAATCAGCAGAACCAGAGTCTAAAGAGCTTTTGAGCTCGCAGGTAACAGACCCACCTAAGCAAGCCAGTAAGGAAAGCTCTCGGCCAGAGTCCACAGAGCCTTCGTTTGATCCCACAGGACACACAGAGAGCGTAAAAGCAAGTAGCATTAATGACTTTACCATTGAGCAAGCTACAAAATTGGACTCAGCTACGCCACAACTAGAGACTACAACTGACTCGGTGATTTCAGTAAAACCGAACAAAATTGATGACCATGATTCGTCACAGCCTACTGGAGGTGCGATCGAGCCGGAAAGGGCTGAATCTGTAGAGCTTTTAAAAAGTTCTAATGAGCAATCACGACCTGAATCTTCCGAGCCAGCAAAAATTGAACAGAGTAATATAGGCGTAGAAGCCTCAGATCATAAGAGTATTGAAAGAACACATCCTTCAAGACCTGGATCTACTGATTTACAAAATGCAGCGGTTGTTCAAAAAGAAGAGTCGCGGCCTCCATCAAAGGAGCCCATCGAAGACAATATTAATGAATCATCGTTAACGAAATCTCCAGCCCCCGTGTTGGTGCAGCTGAAAGATGGGTCCCGATCGGAATCACCTCAGTCTCTAATGCTTTCTGGGGAACAAAAGAAATCAGATTCAGTGGTTTCAAAAGACACATCACGACCTGAGTCAGCAGCAGAGCCTGCAATCAAAGAGGTGACTCAAGGAGAAAAAGCCCTAAAATCAGATGAGCATTCAAGACCACAAACAGCAGAGGGGGAAAGAATTGACACTAAAAAGTCTAGTCCTGACCCGCAAGAAGCAGACGATATCATAAAGGAAATTTTAGATTCTGAAGTAAAATTAGCATTATTGACAGAAAAGATTCACGATGAAAAACTACTTCCCGATGGAACAATTTTAGATGATAGAATTAAAGAATTGGCAAAGTCGCCGTCTCCTGAACCAGAGTTAAGGGACATTGAGTTTGCGAAAGATGAAAAATCGCCATCACCAGCACCATCAATTAGTGAAGCAAAAGCATTGCTAAACGGAAAGCCACTTTCTGGATCGCCTTCACCGGTTCCACCTGTGGATACAGTTGAAAAGTTGCTATTAGAAGATGTGCCTACTGAAGATGACATTAAAAAAGAAATCAAAGAGACTTCCGATACAGAAGTTAAGCAAGATCACCATGATTTAAAGCTTTCTCAAGTTGAAGAAAAAGTAATTACAAGCATTGAAAATTTTTCAAAGGAGAAATCTGTATCACCAGAAACCTTATTAAAACAATCGATTCCGGTCAACGAAGAAGTAAAAAGCCCTGCTGTACAGGAAGTGAAAGAAGTGGAGAAAACAGATGGCCCCGAGGCTGAAAAAGAGGCCGCATATAAGTCCAAATCTCCATCACCTCAACCATCATCACCAGGGACTACCTTAATAGATGTTGAGTCTGGAACGCCAGTTTCCAAACAATCAGTCAGTGTAGATGAGGAAATGGATACCCAACCCTCAACATTGCCTTGTAGACAGACAGAGTTGGAAAAAGACGCTCCATCTGATCGCACTGATACTGATGCCACAGTGATAGGAAAATCGTCTCCAGAGCAAATTGATGTAAATAAATCTTCACTATTGGATGAGACAAGTGGAAAGTCAAATGTGCCAAGTCCTACACTTTCACCATCTCCATCTGTCAATGCAGAACCAAAGCCTTGTTCACCAGAATTGAAAGAGGAGTCAAAGTCACCATCTCTTCAGGATGAGAAGTCTCCATCACCAGTTCCATCTCTTAAAGAGGAGCAAACGTCTCAATCGCCTGCTCCATCTCTTAAAGAAGAGACGAAATCTCCCTCACCATCTTCCAAAGCAGATTCAAAGTCACCTTCACCAGCTCCACCCATGAAAGACGAGCCAATTTCTCCCTCAAAAGCACCACTACTTATAGAAGAGGTAAGATCTTCATCAACATCTCACAAAGAGGAGCCCAAGTCTCCTTCACCAGCTCCATCTCTAAAGGAGGAGTTTCATTCTCCCTCACCAGCTCCATCCCTGAAAGAGGATGTGCAAAAGTCTCCCTCACCAGCTCCATCTCTGAAGGAGGAGGTTCAAAAGTCTCCCTCACCAGCTCCATCATTGAAGGACGAGTTGCTGAAGTCTCCTTCACCTACTCCATCTTCAAAGGAGGAGGTGCAAAAGTCTCCCTCACCAGCTCCATCTCTGAAGGAGGAGGTTCAAAAGTCTCCCTCACCAGCTCCATCTCTGAAGGAAGAGGTGCCAAAGTCTCCCTCACCAGCTCCATCTCTGAAGGATGAGCTGCAAAAGTCTCCCTCACCAGCTCCATCTCTGAAGGAGGAGGTGCAAAAGTCTCCTTCGCCAGCTCCATCTCTGAAGGAGGAGGTTCAAAAGTCTCCCTCACCAGCTCCATCATTGAAGGATGAGCTGCAAAAGTCTCCCTCACCAGCTCCATCTCTGAAGGAGGAGGTGCAAAAGTCTCCTTCGCCAGCTCCATCTCTGAAGGAGGAGGTGCAAAAGTCTCCTTCGCCAGCTCCATCTCTGAAGGATGAGCTGCAAAAATCTCCCTCACCAACTCCATCATTGAAGGACGAGTTGCTGAAGTCTCCTTCACCTACTCCATCTTCAAAGGAGGAGGTGCAAAAGTCTCCCTCACCAGCTTTATCTCTGAAGGAGGTGCAAACGTCTCCCTCACCAGCTCCATCTGAGAAGGATGAGGTGCAAAAGTCTCCCTCACCAGCTCCATCTCTGAAGGAGGAGGTGCCAAAGTCTCCCTCACCAGCTCCATCTCTGAAGGAGGAGGTTCAAAAGTCTCCCTCACCAGCTCCATCTCTGAAGGATGAGCTGCAAAAGTCTCCCTCTCCAGCTCCATCTCAGAAGGAGGAGATGCAAAAATCTCCCTCACCAGCTCCATCTCTGATGGATGAGGTGCAAAAGTCTCCCTCACTAGCTCCATCATTGAAGGAGGAGATGCAAAAGTCTACCATGCCAGCTCCATCCTCGAAGGAGGAGGTACAAAAGTCTCCAGTTCCATCCTCAAAAGAGGAGGTGCAAAAGTCTCCCTCACCAACTCTATCTCTCAAGGAGGAGCCAAAATCTCCCTCACCAGCTCGAATTTCGAAGGAGGAGATGCAAAAGTCTCCCTCTCCAGCTTCATCTCTGAAGGAAGAGGAGACAAAGTCTCCCTCACCAGCTCCATCCTCGAAGGAGGAGGTGCCAAAGTCTCCTTCACCAGCTTCATCTCTGAAGGAGGAGGAGGTGCAAAAGTCTCCCTCACCAGTTCCATCCTCAAAAGAGGAGGTGCAGTCTCCCTCACCAGTTCCATCCTCAAAAGAGGAGGTGCAAAAGTCTCCCTCACCAGTTTCATCCTCAAAAGAGGAGGTGCAAAAGTCTCCCTCACCTGCTCCATCACTAAAAGGCGAGGAGCAAAAATCTCCTTCGCCAGTTCCGTCTTTAAAAGAATCCCCCTCACCAATTCCAGGCAAGGTTTCAATTGAGTCATTGGAACAATATAAAACTGAAGGTCAAGTAAAGGTATCAGATAAATCGATAGAAATTCAAAATCAAAGTAAAACCCCCGCCGCTTTGCAAAGCGCAGAAAAAACACCTTCGCCGTCTGAGGTATCTGATCCAATCACAGCGAGTTACATTGAAATTATTAATAAATTGCAAAAAGACTCGTCTGAAAGTGGAGTATCTAAACCCACCATTGCACAAATTGAAGACCCTATGACAAGGTCTACATTATTTGATGAAGAAATTGACTCTAACGAAGTACCTGATTTTGCATCAAGCTCAGTGGGGTCGGATAACCTAGTGGGCCTTACAGATCAAGATAAAGCCACCAAAAAAAGTCACCACCGGCTCATGTTGACGGCAAGCAGCGAGGACGGAGGGGGCGAAACTGAATTTGACACCGCCCCATTGCTTTTAAAAGAAAAGGAAGAAAAATCTTCGACAGATTCTAGCTTGCAAGAGAAAGCAGCAATTTCACGTAGTCCTGTCCTTAGCACTGAGAAAACTGTCACATCAACCGGGGTAACAGTGGACAAATTCTCAGCACCAGAACCCACACAGGTAGAAAGGGAGAATCAAATTGAACTCGACCATTCCACTATCTTTGTGGCAGCGAAAGGCGATATTGACAGTGTTATAAGCTCAAGTAAAATTCATGAATCTGATTCATTTGGAATTGCAGAACGCGTTTCATCACCTGCATATGACAGTGATCACGATAATGTTCCTCCATCTCCTCACAGCGATATCAGTAGTGGTCAGATGTCTCGAGATCCTCATGTTTGGGACGACAACAGGTCGTCGTCTCGTCAGAGCGAGATAAGCGACAAAGACATTGCCTCACCGCCGTTTACATCATCCAAGCTGAAATTCGAAGTGGTACCATCGTCTGTGATGACAGGCTCCTTCTACGGAGGTTTGCCAGGAGACGAGGATTTTGCGCCGACTGAAGCTGTAGCCAAAGACGTCAAAGACACAAAGAATCAAATTGCAAAGATGGGTGATATCGCAGCCGCCACGGCAGGAGCTGTCGCAGAAACTTTGCCAGCAGCCGGCCCTTCAGTAGTCTCAGCGGTTAAACTGGACGAAAAGTCAGCTGCTGCTCAGAAGGACAAGGACCCAATCGAAAGTTGGGGTAAACCACTTGGTCTCCCGTCTCCCGCGCCTCCCGCTACAAATGACACAATTGGGAGCCAGCACGGTACTCCCAAAAAAGAAAAGCCCATTTCAGCATCAAAGAGAGTCATTGATAGGTCAAAGGCGAAATCTAACAAGGACGCGGTTGGCAAAAATAAAATTCCTACTAGCCCTATGTACTTCGATCTTACGTATGTGCCGCACCATGGAAACTCGAATTACTCGCAAGTAGAGTTCTTCAAAAACGTGCGAGCCAGGTACTACGTTTTCAGCGGCATCGAGCCGAGCAAGGAAGTTTACGACGCACTCTTGGAAGGGAAACAGTCGTGGGATGAAAAAGACTTAGGCAAGTTAAAAGAAATCAATATTCTTTTTTACAGAAAATATTAGAATAAAATGAATAATATATTAAATTAATAATTATTTCAAAATAGGCTTTGTTGTTAGTGTATTTGAATGGATAAAAAGTATAAATTGAAAGAAATAGTAATGATTAAAAGTTGAAAAACGTAATTTAATTAAATTAAAAATAAGGAAAGCCTGCGTTACCACTGAAATATTTGTATTACAATTTTTTTTTATTGAATAAGGGTTTAGCCTCAAATTTTAATTAATTTTTACTTATTATTTGTTTCAGAAGTGACCATCATCCCAACGTACGACACAGATACACTTGGCCAATGGGTGGCCGAGAACGAAGAAAGCATAGCCCTCAACAAGATCGACCTTTCACCTTCAGCCAGTAGATGCACCATTAACCTTCAGGATCATGAGACGAGCTGTTCAGCTTACCGCCTTGAGTTTTAATCGTATGTTGCGCCACACTCGGGTCAAACTTAACCTTAGGGCAAGTCGTCACTACATATTAGTGTCCCCATCACACTTTAATGTTCGTAAGATGCCTAACACAGTAATAATTCATTCACAAAGTTTTTCAAAAAAGTAAAATTGGAATAAAGCACCTTGCTTTGTAAGGAATTTCGAAATCGATAGAAAAAGCCTGCTGCCTATAACGAGAGAATATTTGCGTTTAGTGCGGTGGAAGGGATTATTTTTCGAGAATGCTGCACACGATGCATGTATGCAGAGAACTCGGTCAAATACTACAGTATAGGGGAACGTCTCTCGTGTTAAGACTGAAAAGGATTTGGTATTTTTCTCGCCTCTTTTTTAGTTCATCCACAAATATAAATGACGCCCTTATCCTCACACACTTTGGACTCTAAATAGTTTCTGCGGCAATTTTGTTCTGCTTCGTTTCCGAACCAAGCGTTTAACGCACTACTCTTGTTAGGTGTGTGTACTCTTTCCTAAATCTACGTAGAAGGTCATCAATTTTGTGCTCGATTGCTATAGCGACCGGGAAACGCAATGGCTGCGAGGTAATTTTTGCAGCACCGCATTTTCCGCGCCCATACTTGTCAAACAATCTGTAATACCTCAAAAGTGAGAGCATACAAATCGCGTATGGAAATTGTCGCATGAATTTGATCTCAACGCGCATCTTATTTTCCACATTATTCCGTCGCTAAAAAATTATCGAAAAGTTTTGAAACTATTACGATACGAAAAAGTCCACTTTTTAATGATGGTCCATTTACTTGAATATTGAACTTGTTAGAAACAATAATATATCATTATTTATTAAATGAAAAAAAAATTAAGACAATTTTGGATGTAATACAATTATCAGCAGACTTGTATTGAAAAATTTCACGCACTCTTTCCAAGTATTTCTTAAGGTGCGAGTAGTTTACACCAAATTTTAGTACATTTGCAGCAAGTTAAAGTCAAAATTATAATTTTTTCCGCATAAACATATTTTTGCTCGGCCAAAAAACTGAGCAGTAAAAGGGAAGTATTATGTTATGGATCCTCAGCTTCAATTTTGAAAAGATGAAAAAAATGTGATGAAAATTTTTCAAGATTTTTTTCATGTGAAAGCGGTGCAGTGCACTTTCCCAGCTTATATATAATCACACAGTAAGTTTCAGTGTTTTGCGTGAAATAAAGTAGTCTTCAATTTGTGCACTGCTTCTGAACTTAACAATTCGGGAGACCAAAAAAAATCGAAAACCATTCTTGATTATTGTGCGAGAGGAATCGAGTGAGTGAAATCGGAAAGGGCTACAATTTTGTATACAAAAACTGCAACTTTTTCTATTTGCAGTTCAGTTTTTCCAAGTGTGAGACATATTTGATTTCAAGGGATTAATCACTGCTAACGAAGGACATTTTTCACTACTTGTCCTTCATCAGTCAGAGAGGATATTATTTTGAAGGGAAAAAAGGCAGCCAGGGTGAACACGATGTGCGCGTCATAATCATAAAAGTAGGGTGAACAAAACGCGCGTAAGAATATAATACTTAAGTGTGTAACTGAATAAATATGAAAATGGATAAAAATAGCTCATCTACGATTGGCACTGTACGTGATAAATACATACTTAGTCCAGTTGATTCAAACTGTCCCCGTGAATAACTGTGACTTGCAATGATTTCATTTCCATCACATATTTAAAATAGAATTTATTTTCAGTGCAAGCATTGTAATATATTATAAAACTTCTGTAGGCCTAACTAATGTTTCAATTCTTAATAAAAAGAATGAGATTCTAAAGCTTCAGTTTCTAAAAAAAAAATATTTTGTGTGATAAAATTGGAATTATAATGTGAAAATTTAGTTTTTGGAAGTTGCATGCAGATATTTTTATGGAAAATACTAATTAATATTTGAATGGAAAGTGCCCTAGAAGGCACTTTGAGGCGCCCCGATATCCTGGTTATTGATTGTATCTAGAAATAATATAACATTCCCTATGTGCTTTCATTTAGTCTGGACTTAGTGAGAAAAGTGATTGATTTTTGCGGGACTACGTTAGAGAGATTCAAAGACAATTACAATGACGGGGAGCGATGTGATATTTCATTTGATGGTTGTTTGCCACTATGTAAAAGCCCATCGGTGCACAATAAAAGAAGCGAAACAATAGGTAGACATCAGAGTCGAATTGGTGCTAAAATATAAAATACACTAAAAGAAGTAAAAGAGAATGCCTTCCGGCGCTGGCCGAAGTAGAAAAATGACTTGATGGTTTTCAAACCGGCCGAGCGCCAGCTGATGTAGCGCGTTGCAAAATTTATCAACTTACTACTCACGAAAAAAAGAGTTAGAGCTCAAATTGCTTGGATCGGCTTTCTGTTGAGAACGTTCGGAGATTTGGCGGGAGCGAAAGAAAAACAGGTTTCGGAATGCACGATAAGTTAATGTTTTACGACAAAAAGAATTAAGTGCACGGAGTTCACACCTGCCCTTATATAAATTAAGTAGCAAGAGAACCTTATAAGCGTTTAAACCGAATGGAAAACAATGTTGCAAGTTTCCCTGCAAAACAAAAAATGTTAACTCTCGCTTGATTCCAAAATTAATTGTGTATTTCTTGTTAAATTTAAGACGAAAAAAAGTATGTGAAACACATTCTCTGTCATCTCTCATAAAATTATGTATGCTTTTCTGTGTAACTTAATGCATAATGTGTACTTTTCGCGAATTCTTGATATACATAATTATATCTTTCCTTGCAAAATTTCACCTTTAAGCAAAAAGTCACCTATACGTGCGCCGTGAATCAAGTAATTAAAATCTATTCCAACTATTCTATAATTATGACAAGTACAGATAATGAGAAAAAATATATAATTGCTTTCGATGCATTTGTCGTTAAAGAAAAATGCTAATTATATTGAATGTATAGCTACATAGTACTATGGGATAAAAGAAAGAGTAACTTAAAAAAAAATTTCTTTAGCAAAAAATTTACGCTAATTCCAAACTAGTCATTTCCCCGCTGCTTAATGGATTTGTATGGCTCAATCGAGAAGAACCCACTAATTCTACGATAATTTGTGTGATGTGAGACTTAAGCGATTAATTATATATTCATCAATAAATAAAACTGTAGTAACACATCCGCACAAAATGCTTTTCCTTTCTACAACCGTTCCAAAAAACCAGATTATTTTCTTACATAATATCTAAAACTTTACTTTTTTTAAATTTTTTAAACATTTTCTATTTATTTATTTATCGGCACAGTTAAGGTGCAAAAGACGAAACCCCCCAAGATTAATTTTTGCAGAAGCCGCGAGCGAGGGGTGGAGGCGCGCACGCCCGAGAACGTGGTGAAGGCAGGACAAAAGGGCGGGGTTCGTGAGGGGGCTCCTGTAATTTTTAGTAAAATTCAAAATTAAAAATAAAACTGTTGAATTAAATTCAAGGTTATTCATATTAAATTTTTCTTTACACTTTATTAATCTTGTGGATTTTTCATTGAATAAAAATGCTCGAATAAAATAATTTGTTTACAAAAAACTTGGAAATTTTTAATCAATGAAGTAGGTTGCATTTTAATGAGAGATACTCAATTTTATAAGCCCCAGATAGTATTTTTAAGAGGTTGCCATTCAACTCTAAATTGCTTGATTTGTGCCAAATTTGATATGTTTTAGTTATAGCTTGCATGCACAAAATAGTCCGAAAATTAAAATTCTGATACTTGAAATATAAACATTCCATAATGCAATAGAGAAACGATAATATAAAATGGAAATCTCACCAATTTTTTTGTCAAAGACGTCCATCTGGCTGTCGGTCACGGCTTCTCTAGAGTTGTTGTTGGGAAAAGCTGAGGGTGAAGATAGCAAGCGTTCTCGTACACTGTTTTTCCAAGGAGGCATCGCGGTCCGACCATTGATGCTGAAGCCAAAACCGCCCTTCAAGTTGACAAGCTCAGGCAGGATCTGTGGAAATAAACTAAAGAACTTCCAAAATTATTCTCACACTTTAAAGAAAAATCTAATAATGTGTTACCCAAACACTCTTAAACTATTTCACATGCACTACTTTAAACGTACTGAACTATTCTCAATATAGCACTTTTTTTCACTTTTAAAATTCTATTTTCACTATTTATAGTAACATTCATTTTACCTACTTTATCTAACAAGAAATTATATTTCAGTCCGTTTGTAGAACACTTAGCCAATTGATTTGGTCACATTTAATATTGTTTAATATTTCGTGTACAAAGCATTATCAATCAATATACTATCATTTTTTTTTCATGCGCCGTAGCTGCTCAATGCTTGTAATTTTTAATCCTTGCATTCATATTCTACGATACAAAAGAAATGGCCAGAAAATTTGATGATGGAATTTAAAAAAATTTGTATTTAGTTTGCTGCGCATTCAGAATCATTCATTAGCTTGTAAACAGAAACTTTCTGCATCATGCGGTCCTATTATAAATATCTTGCATTCGAACTTTGGAAAAGTTACAAGAGAACAATCATACATTTGATTCGGCCAGTTAAAATAACATATTTGTTTAGATTGTTTTTTGGTAAAAAAATAACCACTTGCACTTCACTCACTGTTCATGCAAAAGCCATCCTTAAAGTTCAAAGAAACATGCATTTAGTTTTAATAAGTTATTTGGCCATTTTTGAATAAAGAATTATTAAAGTGGAGTGGTTTGACATCCCGACAAACTTAAGCAGACATCCGCGGTACTGAGACTCACTTCCAGCTATTGTTCGGGGGCAGGGGCTCCCGGTTGCGCAACGTGGAAGGTGTTCGAGGAGGCAAGCCCGGCGTGACCAAAAGTACTGGACTACACAAGGGTGCCAACAACGAACCCAACCTCTTTCACGCCCATTGCCACACTCATGACAACTCAATCTCATGAGTGCACCACGTCGGCATCTGCAGTGGCATGTCCGAATTCTCCGCACCTCCCATGCAATCAGACACAGGACTTTAGTCGTAACCAAGCCCTTCGCCAATGCAAATCGTGTTCCCGCATGGCAAATGCAGAAGCTCAATGGGTGGTTGTGATGCCTCGGCATTATTCACACACAAGCCATTCAGACGACGCATTGCCAGCGGTGGCGGGCAACGTCCCCTGTTAGGGGCGGCCTTCAGCTGTTGTCCGCTCCGTTGGACCGGTATCTGTTGCGGGTGCAACCACTCCATTACAAAAAGATAATTGGCATAAGTGCAGTTGCTTGATTTATACATTTTTTGTAGTAATAATGACAAAATTCAACCAGCTGCCAATTCATTAACTTTAAATTTAAATGTATTATTCGACAGTGTATAATGCAAAATGAAAACATTGGGCTCTCAGGCAAAACTGGTAAAAGTGGGTGGAGGATGTTGCGCCTATCTGTGGCAAATGCACAACTCAATCTAGTCACTTTACTTGGCTTGATCGTCGCATGCAGAATAGATTTAAACCTACTTCAGGTCATAGGAGCTCCGTCTTCTGCAGGTTTCAAAACTTGACCAAGAGCCTGGCACTAGCGGTGTCTGCCAAGTCCTCAAACACTGTTGACGAGTGGCGTTTCTCTTCGACCTGATTGAATTTAATAATTCTAATTAAAATTCCAATTATAAAGAGCCGAGCATGCTGTTCTCATATATAATATAATAATCTTGAATGTAATAAGGCTTGCATTTATTTTAATGAGAACAATTTCTGAATTTGTTTTACGATTCAATGAGATTTTCTAATTAAATTAGAATTTAATTCATGAAAATTGTATCCTTTGAATTAGTTTGATTTAGGATTGATTGTGATTGATTTGTTTCAAGAGTTAAGGTGTGCGAGAGCGCTTCTATAAAATAAAAACGCAAAAAAAAAACTCCTATTGCACTGACCTAGCTCTCACTGCACTGCAACAACCTTGGGGAGATTTCGACTGGCCAACTGGCATTGGTTCACCTGATGTCCGAAGTTGGATTTCAAAATTGAAAATAAAACTTCGATCGTTGAATTAAATTCAAGGTTATTCATATTAAATTTTTCTTAACACTTTATAAATCTTGTGGATTCTTCATTCAATGAAAATGCTCGAATAATATTATTTCTTTAAAAAAAACTTGGAAACTGAAGTAGGTTGCATTTTTATGAGAGATACTCAATTTTATAAGCCCCAGATAGTATTTTTAAGTGGTTGCAATTCAACTCTAAATTGCTTGATTTGTGCCAAATTTGATATATTTTAGTTGAAGCTTGCATGCACAAAATAGTCGGAAAACTTAAATTCTGATACTTGAAATATAAACATTCCATAATGCAATAAAGAAACAATAATATAATATAAAATGGAAATCTCACCAAATTTTTTTTTCAAGACGTCCATCTGGCTGTTGGTCATGGCTTCTCCAGAGTTGTTGGGAAAAGCCGAGGGTGAAGATAGCAAGCGTCCTCGCACTCTGTTGTCCAAGGATTCATCGCGGTCCCACCATTGGTGCTGAAGCCAAAACCGCCCTTCAAGTTGACAAGCTCAGGCAGGATCTGTGGAAATAAACTAAAGAACTTCCAAAATTATTCTCACACTTTAAAGAAAAATCTAATAATGTGTTACCCAAACACTCTTAAACTATTTCACATGCACTACTTTAAACGTACTGAACTATTCTCAATATAGCACTTTTTTTCACTTTTAAAATTCTATTTTCACTATTTATAGTAACATTCATTTTACCTACTTTATCTAACAAGAAATTATATTTCAGTCCGTTTGTAGAACACTTAGCCAATTGATTTGGTCACATTTAATATTGTTTAATATTTCGTGTACAAAGCATTATCAATCAATATACTATCATTTTTTTTTCATGCGCCGTAGCTGCTCAATGCTTGTAATTTTTAATCCTTGCATTCATATTCTACGATACAAAAGAAATGGCCAGAAAATTTGATGATGGAATTTAAAAAAATTTGTATTTAGTTTGCTGCGCATTCAGAATCATTCATTAGCTTGTAAACAGAAACTTTCTGCATCATGCGGTCCTATTATAAATATCTTGCATTCGAACTTTGGAAAAGTTACAAGAGAACAATCATACATTTGATTCGGCCAGTTAAAATAACATATTTGTTTAGATTGTTTTTTGGTAAAAAAATAACCACTTGCACTTCACTCACTGTTCATGCAAAAGCCATCCTTAAAGTTCAAAGAAACATGCATTTAGTTTTAATAAGTTATTTGGCCATTTTTGAATAAAGAATTATTAAAGTGGAGTGGTTTGACATCCCGACAAACTTAAGCAGACATCCGCGGTACTGAGACTCACTTCCAGCTATTGTTCGGGGGCAGGGGCTCCCGGTTGCGCAACGTGGAAGGTGTTCGAGGAGGCAAGCCCGGCGTGACCAAAAGTACTGGACTACACAAGGGTGCCAACAACGAACCCAACCTCTTTCACGCCCATTGCCACACTCATGACAACTCAATCTCATGAGTGCACCACGTCGGCATCTGCAGTGGCATGTCCGAATTCTCCGCACCTCCCATGCAATCAGACACAGGACTTTAGTCGTAACCAAGCCCTTCGCCAATGCAAATCGTGTTCCCGCATGGCAAATGCAGAAGCTCAATGGGTGGTTGTGATGCCTCGGCATTATTCACACACAAGCCATTCAGACGACGCATTGCCAGCGGTGGCGGGCAACGTCCCCTGTTAGGGGCGGCCTTCAGCTGTTGTCCGCTCCGTTGGACCGGTATCTGTTGCGGGTGCAACCACTCCATTACAAAAAGATAATTGGCATAAGTGCAGTTGCTTGATTTATACATTTTTTGTAGTAATAATGACAAAATTCAACCAGCTGCCAATTCATTAACTTTAAATTTAAATGTATTATTCGACAGTGTATAATGCAAAATGAAAACATTGGGCTCTCAGGCAAAACTGGTAAAAGTGGGTGGAGGATGTTGCGCCTATCTGTGGCAAATGCACAACTCAATCTAGTCACTTTACTTGGCTTGATCGTCGCATGCAGAATAGATTTAAACCTACTTCAGGTCATAGGAGCTCCGTCTTCTGCAGGTTTCAAAACTTGACCAAGAGCCTGGCACTAGCGGTGTCTGCCAAGTCCTCAAACACTGTTGACGAGTGGCGTTTCTCTTCGACCTGATTGAATTTAATAATTCTAATTAAAATTCCAATTATAAAGAGCCGAGCATGCTGTTCTCATATATAATATAATAATCTTGAATGTAATAAGGCTTGCATTTATTTTAATGAGAACAATTTCTGAATTTGTTTTACGATTCAATGAGATTTTCTAATTAAATTAGAATTTAATTCATGAAAATTGTATCCTTTGAATTAGTTTGATTTAGGATTGATTGTGATTGATTTGTTTCAAGAGTTAAGGTGTGCGAGAGCGCTTCTATAAAATAAAAACGCAAAAAAAAAACTCCTATTGCACTGACCTAGCTCTCACTGCACTGCAACAACCTTGGGGAGATTTCGACTGGCCAACTGGCATTGGTTCACCTGATGTCCGAAGTTGGATTTCAAAATTGAAAATAAAACTTCGATCGTTGAATTAAATTCAAGGTTATTCATATTAAATTTTTCTTAACACTTTATAAATCTTGTGGATTCTTCATTCAATGAAAATGCTCGAATAATATTATTTCTTTAAAAAAAACTTGGAAACTGAAGTAGGTTGCATTTTTATGAGAGATACTCAATTTTATAAGCCCCAGATAGTATTTTTAAGTGGTTGCAATTCAACTCTAAATTGCTTGATTTGTGCCAAATTTGATATATTTTAGTTGAAGCTTGCATGCACAAAATAGTCGGAAAACTTAAATTCTGATACTTGAAATATAAACATTCCATAATGCAATAAAGAAACAATAATATAATATAAAATGGAAATCTCACCAAATTTTTTTTTCAAGACGTCCATCTGGCTGTTGGTCATGGCTTCTCCAGAGTTGTTGGGAAAAGCCGAGGGTGAAGATAGCAAGCGTCCTCGCACTCTGTTGTCCAAGGATTCATCGCGGTCCCACCATTGGTGCTGAAGCCAAAACCGCCCTTCAAGTTGACAAGCTCAGGCAGGATCTGTGGAAATAAACTAAAGAACTTCCAAAATTATTCTCACACTTTAAAGAAAAATCTAATAATGTGTTACCCAAACACTCTTAAACTATTTCACATGCACTACTTTAAACGTACTGAACTATTCTCAATATAGCACTTTTTTTCACTTTTAAAATTCTATTTTCACTATTTATAGTAACATTCATTTTACCTACTTTATCTAACAAGAAATTATATTTCAGTCCGTTTGTAGAACACTTAGCCAATTGATTTGGTCACATTTAATATTGTTTAATATTTCGTGTACAAAGCATTATCAATCAATATACTATCATTTTTTTTTCATGCGCCGTAGCTGCTCAATGCTTGTAATTTTTAATCCTTGCATTCATATTCTACGATACAAAAGAAATGGCCAGAAAATTTGATGATGGAATTTAAAAAAATTTGTATTTAGTTTGCTGCGCATTCAGAATCATTCATTAGCTTGTAAACAGAAACTTTCTGCATCATGCGGTCCTATTATAAATATCTTGCATTCGAACTTTGGAAAAGTTACAAGAGAACAATCATACATTTGATTCGGCCAGTTAAAATAACATATTTGTTTAGATTGTTTTTTGGTAAAAAAATAACCACTTGCACTTCACTCACTGTTCATGCAAAAGCCATCCTTAAAGTTCAAAGAAACATGCATTTAGTTTTAATAAGTTATTTGGCCATTTTTGAATAAAGAATTATTAAAGTGGAGTGGTTTGACATCCCGACAAACTTAAGCAGACATCCGCGGTACTGAGACTCACTTCCAGCTATTGTTCGGGGGCAGGGGCTCCCGGTTGCGCAACGTGGAAGGTGTTCGAGGAGGCAAGCCCGGCGTGACCAAAAGTACTGGACTACACAAGGGTGCCAACAACGAACCCAACCTCTTTCACGCCCATTGCCACACTCATGACAACTCAATCTCATGAGTGCACCACGTCGGCATCTGCAGTGGCATGTCCGAATTCTCCGCACCTCCCATGCAATCAGACACAGGACTTTAGTCGTAACCAAGCCCTTCGCCAATGCAAATCGTGTTCCCGCATGGCAAATGCAGAAGCTCAATGGGTGGTTGTGATGCCTCGGCATTATTCACACACAAGCCATTCAGACGACGCATTGCCAGCGGTGGCGGGCAACGTCCCCTGTTAGGGGCGGCCTTCAGCTGTTGTCCGCTCCGTTGGACCGGTATCTGTTGCGGGTGCAACCACTCCATTACAAAAAGATAATTGGCATAAGTGCAGTTGCTTGATTTATACATTTTTTGTAGTAATAATGACAAAATTCAACCAGCTGCCAATTCATTAACTTTAAATTTAAATGTATTATTCGACAGTGTATAATGCAAAATGAAAACATTGGGCTCTCAGGCAAAACTGGTAAAAGTGGGTGGAGGATGTTGCGCCTATCTGTGGCAAATGCACAACTCAATCTAGTCACTTTACTTGGCTTGATCGTCGCATGCAGAATAGATTTAAACCTACTTCAGGTCATAGGAGCTCCGTCTTCTGCAGGTTTCAAAACTTGACCAAGAGCCTGGCACTAGCGGTGTCTGCCAAGTCCTCAAACACTGTTGACGAGTGGCGTTTCTCTTCGACCTGATTGAATTTAATAATTCTAATTAAAATTCCAATTATAAAGAGCCGAGCATGCTGTTCTCATATATAATATAATAATCTTGAATGTAATAAGGCTTGCATTTATTTTAATGAGAACAATTTCTGAATTTGTTTTACGATTCAATGAGATTTTCTAATTAAATTAGAATTTAATTCATGAAAATTGTATCCTTTGAATTAGTTTGATTTAGGATTGATTGTGATTGATTTGTTTCAAGAGTTAAGGTGTGCGAGAGCGCTTCTATAAAATAAAAACGCAAAAAAAAAACTCCTATTGCACTGACCTAGCTCTCACTGCACTGCAACAACCTTGGGGAGATTTCGACTGGCCAACTGGCATTGGTTCACCTGATGTCCGAAGTTGGATTTCAAAATTGAAAATAAAACTTCGATCGTTGAATTAAATTCAAGGTTATTCATATTAAATTTTTCTTAACACTTTATAAATCTTGTGGATTCTTCATTCAATGAAAATGCTCGAATAATATTATTTCTTTAAAAAAAACTTGGAAACTGAAGTAGGTTGCATTTTTATGAGAGATACTCAATTTTATAAGCCCCAGATAGTATTTTTAAGTGGTTGCAATTCAACTCTAAATTGCTTGATTTGTGCCAAATTTGATATATTTTAGTTGAAGCTTGCATGCACAAAATAGTCGGAAAACTTAAATTCTGATACTTGAAATATAAACATTCCATAATGCAATAAAGAAACAATAATATAATATAAAATGGAAATCTCACCAAATTTTTTTTTCAAGACGTCCATCTGGCTGTTGGTCATGGCTTCTCCAGAGTTGTTGGGAAAAGCCGAGGGTGAAGATAGCAAGCGTCCTCGCACTCTGTTGTCCAAGGATTCATCGCGGTCCCACCATTGGTGCTGAAGCCAAAACCGCCCTTCAAGTTGACAAGCTCAGGCAGGATCTGTGGAAATAAACTAAAGAACTTCCAAAATTATTCTCACACTTTAAAGAAAAATCTAATAATGTGTTACCCAAACACTCTTAAACTATTTCACATGCACTACTTTAAACGTACTGAACTATTCTCAATATAGCACTTTTTTTCACTTTTAAAATTCTATTTTCACTATTTATAGTAACATTCATTTTACCTACTTTATCTAACAAGAAATTATATTTCAGTCCGTTTGTAGAACACTTAGCCAATTGATTTGGTCACATTTAATATTGTTTAATATTTCGTGTACAAAGCATTATCAATCAATATACTATCATTTTTTTTTCATGCGCCGTAGCTGCTCAATGCTTGTAATTTTTAATCCTTGCATTCATATTCTACGATACAAAAGAAATGGCCAGAAAATTTGATGATGGAATTTAAAAAAATTTGTATTTAGTTTGCTGCGCATTCAGAATCATTCATTAGCTTGTAAACAGAAACTTTCTGCATCATGCGGTCCTATTATAAATATCTTGCATTCGAACTTTGGAAAAGTTACAAGAGAACAATCATACATTTGATTCGGCCAGTTAAAATAACATATTTGTTTAGATTGTTTTTTGGTAAAAAAATAACCACTTGCACTTCACTCACTGTTCATGCAAAAGCCATCCTTAAAGTTCAAAGAAACATGCATTTAGTTTTAATAAGTTATTTGGCCATTTTTGAATAAAGAATTATTAAAGTGGAGTGGTTTGACATCCCGACAAACTTAAGCAGACATCCGCGGTACTGAGACTCACTTCCAGCTATTGTTCGGGGGCAGGGGCTCCCGGTTGCGCAACGTGGAAGGTGTTCGAGGAGGCAAGCCCGGCGTGACCAAAAGTACTGGACTACACAAGGGTGCCAACAACGAACCCAACCTCTTTCACGCCCATTGCCACACTCATGACAACTCAATCTCATGAGTGCACCACGTCGGCATCTGCAGTGGCATGTCCGAATTCTCCGCACCTCCCATGCAATCAGACACAGGACTTTAGTCGTAACCAAGCCCTTCGCCAATGCAAATCGTGTTCCCGCATGGCAAATGCAGAAGCTCAATGGGTGGTTGTGATGCCTCGGCATTATTCACACACAAGCCATTCAGACGACGCATTGCCAGCGGTGGCGGGCAACGTCCCCTGTTAGGGGCGGCCTTCAGCTGTTGTCCGCTCCGTTGGACCGGTATCTGTTGCGGGTGCAACCACTCCATTACAAAAAGATAATTGGCATAAGTGCAGTTGCTTGATTTATACATTTTTTGTAGTAATAATGACAAAATTCAACCAGCTGCCAATTCATTAACTTTAAATTTAAATGTATTATTCGACAGTGTATAATGCAAAATGAAAACATTGGGCTCTCAGGCAAAACTGGTAAAAGTGGGTGGAGGATGTTGCGCCTATCTGTGGCAAATGCACAACTCAATCTAGTCACTTTACTTGGCTTGATCGTCGCATGCAGAATAGATTTAAACCTACTTCAGGTCATAGGAGCTCCGTCTTCTGCAGGTTTCAAAACTTGACCAAGAGCCTGGCACTAGCGGTGTCTGCCAAGTCCTCAAACACTGTTGACGAGTGGCGTTTCTCTTCGACCTGATTGAATTTAATAATTCTAATTAAAATTCCAATTATAAAGAGCCGAGCATGCTGTTCTCATATATAATATAATAATCTTGAATGTAATAAGGCTTGCATTTATTTTAATGAGAACAATTTCTGAATTTGTTTTACGATTCAATGAGATTTTCTAATTAAATTAGAATTTAATTCATGAAAATTGTATCCTTTGAATTAGTTTGATTTAGGATTGATTGTGATTGATTTGTTTCAAGAGTTAAGGTGTGCGAGAGCGCTTCTATAAAATAAAAACGCAAAAAAAAAACTCCTATTGCACTGACCTAGCTCTCACTGCACTGCAACAACCTTGGGGAGATTTCGACTGGCCAACTGGCATTGGTTCACCTGATGTCCGAAGTTGGATTTCAAAATTGAAAATAAAACTTCGATCGTTGAATTAAATTCAAGGTTATTCATATTAAATTTTTCTTAACACTTTATAAATCTTGTGGATTCTTCATTCAATGAAAATGCTCGAATAATATTATTTCTTTAAAAAAAACTTGGAAACTGAAGTAGGTTGCATTTTTATGAGAGATACTCAATTTTATAAGCCCCAGATAGTATTTTTAAGTGGTTGCAATTCAACTCTAAATTGCTTGATTTGTGCCAAATTTGATATATTTTAGTTGAAGCTTGCATGCACAAAATAGTCGGAAAACTTAAATTCTGATACTTGAAATATAAACATTCCATAATGCAATAAAGAAACAATAATATAATATAAAATGGAAATCTCACCAAATTTTTTTTTCAAGACGTCCATCTGGCTGTTGGTCATGGCTTCTCCAGAGTTGTTGGGAAAAGCCGAGGGTGAAGATAGCAAGCGTCCTCGCACTCTGTTGTCCAAGGATTCATCGCGGTCCCACCATTGGTGCTGAAGCCAAAACCGCCCTTCAAGTTGACAAGCTCAGGCAGGATCTGTGGAAATAAACTAAAGAACTTCCAAAATTATTCTCACACTTTAAAGAAAAATCTAATAATGTGTTACCCAAACACTCTTAAACTATTTCACATGCACTACTTTAAACGTACTGAACTATTCTCAATATAGCACTTTTTTTCACTTTTAAAATTCTATTTTCACTATTTATAGTAACATTCATTTTACCTACTTTATCTAACAAGAAATTATATTTCAGTCCGTTTGTAGAACACTTAGCCAATTGATTTGGTCACATTTAATATTGTTTAATATTTCGTGTACAAAGCATTATCAATCAATATACTATCATTTTTTTTTCATGCGCCGTAGCTGCTCAATGCTTGTAATTTTTAATCCTTGCATTCATATTCTACGATACAAAAGAAATGGCCAGAAAATTTGATGATGGAATTTAAAAAAATTCGTATTTTTTAGTTTGCTGCGCATTCAGAATCATTCATTAGCTTGTAAACAGAAACTTTCTGCATCATGCGGTCCTATTATAAATATCTTGCATTCGAACTTTGGAAAAGTTACAAGAGAACAATCATACATTTGATTCGGCCAGTTAAAATAACATATTTGTTTAGATTGTTTTTTGGTAAAAAAATAACCACTTGCACTTCACTCACTGTTCATGCAAAAGCCATCCTTAAAGTTCAAAGAAACATGCATTTAGTTTTAATAAGTTATTTGGCCATTTTTGAATAAAGAATTATTAAAGTGGAGTGGTTTGACATCCCGACAAACTTAAGCAGACATCCGCGGTACTGAGACTCACTTCCAGCTATTGTTCGGGGGCAGGGGCTCCCGGTTGCGCAACGTGGAAGGTGTTCGAGGAGGCAAGCCCGGCGTGACCAAAAGTACTGGACTACACAAGGGTGCCAACAACGAACCCAACCTCTTTCACGCCCATTGCCACACTCATGACAACTCAATCTCATGAGTGCACCACGTCGGCATCTGCAGTGGCATGTCCGAATTCTCCGCACCTCCCATGCAATCAGACACAGGACTTTAGTCGTAACCAAGCCCTTCGCCAATGCAAATCGTGTTCCCGCATGGCAAATGCAGAAGCTCAATGGGTGGTTGTGATGCCTCGGCATTATTCACACACAAGCCATTCAGACGACGCATTGCCAGCGGTGGCGGGCAACGTCCCCTGTTAGGGGCGGCCTTCAGCTGTTGTCCGCTCCGTTGGACCGGTATCTGTTGCGGGTGCAACCACTCCATTACAAAAAGATAATTGGCATAAGTGCAGTTGCTTGATTTATACATTTTTTGTAGTAATAATGACAAAATTCAACCAGCTGCCAATTCATTAACTTTAAATTTAAATGTATTATTCGACAGTGTATAATGCAAAATGAAAACATTGGGCTCTCAGGCAAAACTGGTAAAAGTGGGTGGAGGATGTTGCGCCTATCTGTGGCAAATGCACAACTCAATCTAGTCACTTTACTTGGCTTGATCGTCGCATGCAGAATAGATTTAAACCTACTTCAGGTCATAGGAGCTCCGTCTTCTGCAGGTTTCAAAACTTGACCAAGAGCCTGGCACTAGCGGTGTCTGCCAAGTCCTCAAACACTGTTGACGAGTGGCGTTTCTCTTCGACCTGATTGAATTTAATAATTCTAATTAAAATTCCAATTATAAAGAGCCGAGCATGCTGTTCTCATATATAATATAATAATCTTGAATGTAATAAGGCTTGCATTTATTTTAATGAGAACAATTTCTGAATTTGTTTTACGATTCAATGAGATTTTCTAATTAAATTAGAATTTAATTCATGAAAATTGTATCCTTTGAATTAGTTTGATTTAGGATTGATTGTGATTGATTTGTTTCAAGAGTTAAGGTGTGCGAGAGCGCTTCTATAAAATAAAAACGCAAAAAAAAAACTCCTATTGCACTGACCTAGCTCTCACTGCACTGCAACAACCTTGGGGAGATTTCGACTGGCCAACTGGCATTGGTTCACCTGATGTCCGAAGTTGGATTTCAAAATTGAAAATAAAACTTCGATCGTTGAATTAAATTCAAGGTTATTCATATTAAATTTTTCTTAACACTTTATAAATCTTGTGGATTCTTCATTCAATGAAAATGCTCGAATAATATTATTTCTTTAAAAAAAACTTGGAAACTGAAGTAGGTTGCATTTTTATGAGAGATACTCAATTTTATAAGCCCCAGATAGTATTTTTAAGTGGTTGCAATTCAACTCTAAATTGCTTGATTTGTGCCAAATTTGATATATTTTAGTTGAAGCTTGCATGCACAAAATAGTCGGAAAACTTAAATTCTGATACTTGAAATATAAACATTCCATAATGCAATAAAGAAACAATAATATAATATAAAATGGAAATCTCACCAAATTTTTTTTTCAAGACGTCCATCTGGCTGTTGGTCATGGCTTCTCCAGAGTTGTTGGGAAAAGCCGAGGGTGAAGATAGCAAGCGTCCTCGCACTCTGTTGTCCAAGGATTCATCGCGGTCCCACCATTGGTGCTGAAGCCAAAACCGCCCTTCAAGTTGACAAGCTCAGGCAGGATCTGTGGAAATAAACTAAAGAACTTCCAAAATTATTCTCACACTTTAAAGAAAAATCTAATAATGTGTTACCCAAACACTCTTAAACTATTTCACATGCACTACTTTAAACGTACTGAACTATTCTCAATATAGCACTTTTTTTCACTTTTAAAATTCTATTTTCACTATTTATAGTAACATTCATTTTACCTACTTTATCTAACAAGAAATTATATTTCAGTCCGTTTGTAGAACACTTAGCCAATTGATTTGGTCACATTTAATATTGTTTAATATTTCGTGTACAAAGCATTATCAATCAATATACTATCATTTTTTTTTCATGCGCCGTAGCTGCTCAATGCTTGTAATTTTTAATCCTTGCATTCATATTCTACGATACAAAAGAAATGGCCAGAAAATTTGATGATGGAATTTAAAAAAATTTGTATTTAGTTTGCTGCGCATTCAGAATCATTCATTAGCTTGTAAACAGAAACTTTCTGCATCATGCGGTCCTATTATAAATATCTTGCATTCGAACTTTGGAAAAGTTACAAGAGAACAATCATACATTTGATTCGGCCAGTTAAAATAACATATTTGTTTAGATTGTTTTTTGGTAAAAAAATAACCACTTGCACTTCACTCACTGTTCATGCAAAAGCCATCCTTAAAGTTCAAAGAAACATGCATTTAGTTTTAATAAGTTATTTGGCCATTTTTGAATAAAGAATTATTAAAGTGGAGTGGTTTGACATCCCGACAAACTTAAGCAGACATCCGCGGTACTGAGACTCACTTCCAGCTATTGTTCGGGGGCAGGGGCTCCCGGTTGCGCAACGTGGAAGGTGTTCGAGGAGGCAAGCCCGGCGTGACCAAAAGTACTGGACTACACAAGGGTGCCAACAACGAACCCAACCTCTTTCACGCCCATTGCCACACTCATGACAACTCAATCTCATGAGTGCACCACGTCGGCATCTGCAGTGGCATGTCCGAATTCTCCGCACCTCCCATGCAATCAGACACAGGACTTTAGTCGTAACCAAGCCCTTCGCCAATGCAAATCGTGTTCCCGCATGGCAAATGCAGAAGCTCAATGGGTGGTTGTGATGCCTCGGCATTATTCACACACAAGCCATTCAGACGACGCATTGCCAGCGGTGGCGGGCAACGTCCCCTGTTAGGGGCGGCCTTCAGCTGTTGTCCGCTCCGTTGGACCGGTATCTGTTGCGGGTGCAACCACTCCATTACAAAAAGATAATTGGCATAAGTGCAGTTGCTTGATTTATACATTTTTTGTAGTAATAATGACAAAATTCAACCAGCTGCCAATTCATTAACTTTAAATTTAAATGTATTATTCGACAGTGTATAATGCAAAATGAAAACATTGGGCTCTCAGGCAAAACTGGTAAAAGTGGGTGGAGGATGTTGCGCCTATCTGTGGCAAATGCACAACTCAATCTAGTCACTTTACTTGGCTTGATCGTCGCATGCAGAATAGATTTAAACCTACTTCAGGTCATAGGAGCTCCGTCTTCTGCAGGTTTCAAAACTTGACCAAGAGCCTGGCACTAGCGGTGTCTGCCAAGTCCTCAAACACTGTTGACGAGTGGCGTTTCGCTTCGACCTGATTGAATTTAATAATTCTAATTAAAATTCCAATTATAAAGAGCCGAGCATGCTGTTCTCATATATAATATAATAATCTTGAATGTAATAAGGCTTGCATTTATTTTAATGAGAACAATTTCTGAATTTGTTTAACGATTCAATGAGATTTTCTAATTAAATTAGAATTTAATTCATGAAAATTGTATCCTTTGAATTAGTTTGATTTAGGATTGATTGTGATTGATTTGTTTCAAGAGTTAAGGTGTGCGAGAGCGCTTCTATAAAATAAAAACGCAAAAAAAAAACTCCTATTGCACTGACCTAGCTCTCACTGCACTGCAACAACCTTGGGGAGATTTCGACTGGCCAACTGGCATTGGTTCACCTGATGTCCGAAGTTGGATTTCAAAATTGAAAATAAAACTTCGATCGTTGAATTAAATTCAAGGTTATTCATATTAAATTTTTCTTAACACTTTATAAATCTTGTGGATTCTTCATTCAATGAAAATGCTCGAATAATATTATTTCTTTAAAAAAAACTTGGAAACTGAAGTAGGTTGCATTTTTATGAGAGATACTCAATTTTATAAGCCCCAGATAGTATTTTTAAGTGGTTGCAATTCAACTCTAAATTGCTTGATTTGTGCCAAATTTGATATATTTTAGTTGAAGCTTGCATGCACAAAATAGTCGGAAAACTTAAATTCTGATACTTGAAATATAAACATTCCATAATGCAATAAAGAAACAATAATATAATATAAAATGGAAATCTCACCAAATTTTTTTTTTCAAGACGTCCATCTGGCTGTTGGTCATGGCTTCTCCAGAGTTGTTGGGAAAAGCCGAGGGTGAAGATAGCAAGCGTCCTCGCACTCTGTTGTCCAAGGATTCATCGCGGTCCCACCATTGGTGCTGAAGCCAAAACCGCCCTTCAAGTTGACAAGCTCAGGCAGGATCTGTGGAAATAAACTAAAGAACTTCCAAAATTATTCTCACACTTTAAAGAAAAATCTAATAATGTGTTACCCAAACACTCTTAAACTATTTCACATGCACTACTTTAAACGTACTGAACTATTCTCAATATAGCACTTTTTTTCACTTTTAAAATTCTATTTTCACTATTTATAGTAACATTCATTTTACCTACTTTATCTAACAAGAAATTATATTTCAGTCCGTTTGTAGAACACTTAGCCAATTGATTTGGTCACATTTAATATTGTTTAATATTTCGTGTACAAAGCATTATCAATCAATATACTATCATTTTTTTTTCATGCGCCGTAGCTGCTCAATGCTTGTAATTTTTAATCCTTGCATTCATATTCTACGATACAAAAGAAATGGCCAGAAAATTTGATGATGGAATTTAAAAAAATTTGTATTTAGTTTGCTGCGCATTCAGAATCATTCATTAGCTTGTAAACAGAAACTTTCTGCATCATGCGGTCCTATTATAAATATCTTGCATTCGAACTTTGGAAAAGTTACAAGAGAACAATCATACATTTGATTCGGCCAGTTAAAATAACATATTTGTTTAGATTGTTTTTTGGTAAAAAAATAACCACTTGCACTTCACTCACTGTTCATGCAAAAGCCATCCTTAAAGTTCAAAGAAACATGCATTTAGTTTTAATAAGTTATTTGGCCATTTTTGAATAAAGAATTATTAAAGTGGAGTGGTTTGACATCCCGACAAACTTAAGCAGACATCCGCGGTACTGAGACTCACTTCCAGCTATTGTTCGGGGGCAGGGGCTCCCGGTTGCGCAACGTGGAAGGTGTTCGAGGAGGCAAGCCCGGCGTGACCAAAAGTACTGGACTACACAAGGGTGCCAACAACGAACCCAACCTCTTTCACGCCCATTGCCACACTCATGACAACTCAATCTCATGAGTGCACCACGTCGGCATCTGCAGTGGCATGTCCGAATTCTCCGCACCTCCCATGCAATCAGACACAGGACTTTAGTCGTAACCAAGCCCTTCGCCAATGCAAATCGTGTTCCCGCATGGCAAATGCAGAAGCTCAATGGGTGGTTGTGATGCCTCGGCATTATTCACACACAAGCCATTCAGACGACGCATTGCCAGCGGTGGCGGGCAACGTCCCCTGTTAGGGGCGGCCTTCAGCTGTTGTCCGCTCCGTTGGACCGGTATCTGTTGCGGGTGCAACCACTCCATTACAAAAAGATAATTGGCATAAGTGCAGTTGCTTGATTTATACATTTTTTGTAGTAATAATGACAAAATTCAACCAGCTGCCAATTCATTAACTTTAAATTTAAATGTATTATTCGACAGTGTATAATGCAAAATGAAAACATTGGGCTCTCAGGCAAAACTGGTAAAAGTGGGTGGAGGATGTTGCGCCTATCTGTGGCAAATGCACAACTCAATCTAGTCACTTTACTTGGCTTGATCGTCGCATGCAGAATAGATTTAAACCTACTTCAGGTCATAGGAGCTCCGTCTTCTGCAGGTTTCAAAACTTGACCAAGAGCCTGGCACTAGCGGTGTCTGCCAAGTCCTCAAACACTGTTGACGAGTGGCGTTTCTCTTCGACCTGATTGAATTTAATAATTCTAATTAAAATTCCAATTATAAAGAGCCGAGCATGCTGTTCTCATATATAATATAATAATCTTGAATGTAATAAGGCTTGCATTTATTTTAATGAGAACAATTTCTGAATTTGTTTTACGATTCAATGAGATTTTCTAATTAAATTAGAATTTAATTCATGAAAATTGTATCCTTGTAATTAGTTTGATTTGTTTCAAGAGTTAAGTTGTGCGACTAATCTTTGGCTAGAGCGCTTCTATAAAATAAAAACGCAAAAAAATCCTATTGCACAGACCTGCTCACTGCTCTGCAACAACCTTGGGGAGATTTCGACTGGCCGACTGGCATTGGTTCGCCTGATGACCGAACGGTGGTAGGACATCTCAACCTCGAAAGGATCACATTTTTCCATTTCTGCCGCTCAATGTTGTCATTGGATTGGTTGAGGCCTAAAGAATTGAGAATTTATTACCATAAATTTGATCCGCTGTAAAACTATAATTATTTGGGCAGGTTCCCTTTCTTACTTTAAAATAAATAATGGAACTAGAAACTTCCATGCAAAGTATTTAATCCACTTGAAACCCTTTTTAAAATAAATAATGAATTATTTTATTTCAATTGGAGGAAAGCTGGTTGAAGATTTATTATATATTGATCGGCTATGCCAATTCAACATGCAAGAGAAAAATAGCAAAACAAATATGACAAAGAAATGATTTCATTGAACCTGTGAAAACTAAAAGGATTATTCTCACCAAAAAAAGTATTGTCGATGACTTTGGTTGATGCCCCCATGGCGTCGCCAAAGTTGTTGGACAAAGCCGTCAGCAACAGTTTTCCGAAGAAAGCATATTTGTGTTCCAGCAAGGCTGAACACGTGGCCGCTGCCCACTTGTTATGTTGTAGGAGTGACCTGTTTAAAATTTTCAAAAATTAATAATATATTTTAAAGATGAAACTAAAAATGCGTCTTTTTTGTAAAGTACAATTTATAAATTTACTTTTTTATATTTTCATCAAAACAATGAGACGAGAGGGACAGGTATTCAAAATTTTGAAAATTCAAATTTAACGACCAAAAGCAGCACTGAAATTGTGAAATTTTTGGAATAGCCGCACTCCGTCAACGTAAAACTGGATGTGATTTCACGAGCAAGTTCAGGAATGATAAAACGAAGTCAATGAATCGAAAAGCAATTTTTCAACTGAAAAACGCACACGATTTATGAGACGGGGCGCCGTTGAAACAGTACCTTGGGGTCAGGGTGGGGTCAGGCCTCAATTTCCATGCGCTGGACAGGTCTGACGAACCCTGAGAGAGCCGCTTTCGTGGAGAAAATGCCAGCAATGCCAGCATCACGTGCGATCACGCGGATCACACAAGCGACAGCGCCGCCATGTCTGCGACTGCGGCCGGAAGCGCGAGCACCAAGAAAGGGGCGAGAGGGGATTACAGGTGAAGTAAAGGTGATGCTAATATTAATATTTCTCCACACTTATTTAATTATTCCCCCGATATTTAACGCGCTTAAAATAAATATTTTATCTTGCGAGAAAGCAAAGTGTCTTTAGTCCCCATTTGAGCTACGCTCTTTGTCTCGTATACGCAGATTTACAAAATTATTGCTGCCTGACAAAAACACGCGCGCCGTGCACATGGAAAAATGCATGCAATTCGATTAATTATGGGCCTCAATGGGACCTACCTGGGGTCAAGTCATGAGCGCGGACTCGTCAGCGTGGTCTCCGCGGTGAGAAAATCCATTTTTCTTCGTGATTCGGCCGAATGCGGTTTGATTTCTGTCAGTTTGCCCGATTTTTCTTGAAGCGAGAAAGTTCTGGACGTGCTGTCTGGAGTCTGACTCTGGAAGACACGCCGGCGCTTGTTCTTGCCGGCGAGCGAGAAGGGAAAGAGGGAGGGTCGGAGGCGCTCGGCCGGTCGCCCACACACTGGGTGGGTCCGAATATCAGAGAAACGATTCTAGAAACGATTCTTGAGAAACGTTTCTCGAGAAATGATTCTGGAGAAACGTTTCTCGAGAAACGTTTCTCGAGAAATGATTCTAGAGAAACGTTTCTCGAGAAAAGATTCTCGCGCAAGGATTCTCAAGGATCGATTCTTTAGTTGAATTATAAAGGCAGAAACGATCCTGGAGAATCTTTGCGCGAGAATCTTTTCTCAAGAAACGTTTCTCTAGAATCATTTCTCGAGAAACGTTTCTCGAGAAACGTTTCTCCAGAATCATTTCTCGAGAAACGTTTCTCAAGAATCGTTTCTAGAATCGTTTCTCTGATATTCGGACCCACCCACTCTCTCGCTTTTTGCATTCCTCTGCCTTTGTGTGCTCAACACACGTCCTTGGAAAGGAAAAATGACAATAAAGATGAAATTACTAGGAATCAGGAATAATTGTGTTTATGAAATTGAGCCCATGAATGATTGTCTCAACGCACTAACCAACTCTAAGTAGTTGTCACAAAATTTTATATTTTAAAGTCAATGTAGTTTTAAGTAAATTTTAACATTAAAAATAAAACTTCGAGCTTTGAAGTTACTTCAAGGTTATTCATATTAAATTTTTCGGTAATCTTACAAACAACTTTTGAGAGCAAAAATATTTTTACATTCGTTAATTTTACTCTTAATTTGGACGAAAACTGTTTTTGTGCGTTTGATCAGCGTAAAATTCATAAAATTGCAAAATATACATAATCGCACTTGTCTAATAAACATAACATCAATAATAAAATTGAGTTATTGATAAGGACCAGACTGGCCCTTTACCTCCTCTCTCTTTGTAGACTTTGGAGAGGACCAGAACGTTTCCGCAAAGGCTTAATATGACATGAAAAACCATGCCATAAAAAATTGGAAAAATTGCTCACACATTTTTTGTAACTCTCAAAATGAATTCCATAAAACCCCCAAATTTTACCTGTGGCGTGTATAGATGAAGCGACGGTCAACAAAAACACACGATCTGCTCCAAATGTTTATTTCCACAGAAGGGTCCACCCGCGTCCAAGTCGTCCATTGTCCAAGATCCAAGACAAATGCAAAACACACTGACCACGATATGATGTTATCCTCACTTGTTGCTTTTCAGCTGGAATGTAAATATAAATAAAGGGAGCGAATTGTTGGGAGTAGGGAGCGCGCCGGGAGAAAGGTGGCGCCAACCCCGTCCAGTAGTGCCAAAAGCTAGTTATTGTGATGTAGAAGGAAGAAAGGGGGGGGGGGTGGAATATTTAAATTGAATGCCTTTGACCCCTTTGACCTCTACAACTCAGAGCCTTTCATGCATGGAAAGCATGCAGTAGCACCTGCTAGACATGAATTTATCAGAGTTACGGCATTTTTTTTTTAACTTTTGGAAGTCTAAATATATTTTTATAGATTAATTCATTTTTGCTTTCAAATTTATAATTAATTGCATTTTCCATATTTTTGAAGTAGTTCAGAAGTTTTTTTTCATCCTTTTTTTGTAAATGAATATTAGAACAAAATAAAAAAATTGTCATTTTGTTAACAATACTGAACATAATGTTTCCTCTAATGAAACTATCATAATGTTAGCATAAACTATATTTTTATACAACAAGAAAAAAAATCTATTTCTTTTGAATAATTTTCTTGGGAAGATTCTATAAGACACAAAGATTGGTCCAAAACTTTTTGTTTTAATTTATTATCTTACATCAAATAATTGGGTGTTACTCAATTTGAAACTGATTACAAAACAATTAGGAGAGATTATTTATTTTCATCTCCAGCTCAACTTGGGCTTTCTTGCTTTCTTCGAGGTCAAGAAGAAACGACTGAAGTTTGTTGTGCAAATCTTCCAGGACTCGTCTGTTTTGAGAGCTTTCATTTGTCAAGCCTATTTGTTCACCAGAGTTTTCCAAATTTGCAGTACAAGCCTTCTGACACAATTGTCCTAAAAGAGAATAATAAAAATAAATTTTCTCTAAGAGATACAAAATGCATTGCATACTTATAAGTCGCAGCAAGTCATTCGGGCACCAATTGCATGACAAGACTTCAAGCAGTTGTTTGTTACTAATAGCAAAAGTAAATTCCGATCCAGATCGGCTGAGAGGATCAGTCAGTTTTTGAGAGGCGATGAACTCACTGCAGATATTCTGAGGTAAAAGGCTTATTAGCTCAAATAATACATAATTTGCATGTTTTAAAACCTCAATAAGGCTGGGCCATGGTAAACTGTCTGGACTGGCACTGTAGTTTTTGCTTAAAGCAATAATTTGATGAGATGTCCTAACAAAGGAAGATAAAAGAATTAAATATTCAAGAATATCGCTAAATATTTAAAACTAACCAGCTGATTAAAAGGCTTAAGCGTGACGACTCCATTGGAAGTTTTCTGCAAAATTCTGTCAAAATGACAAAAACACTAGGCCAGTCGCAATTGTCAATGTCAAAGTCCAGCGGTGGCAATTTGTGTTTGTTAATAGCCTGTGCAACAAGACATAAGATAAGGTCAATCCGGGCCAATCAAAAATTCTAAAACCTGGCCATTTAAATTGCATTCTGATAGGTTAAATTAGACTGGGGCACATTAATACTTTTGCAAACTCCCCTTGATTTAAATTTTCGAAAAAAATATACCTGAGAAACATTTTGCCTAAATTGCCAGGAGTTCCAGTTGGCTGGCAAAGACTTGTATTTGTTTTTTAAAAGGCATTCTTCTTCTGGTTGTAATAACGCAGGGGCCAAAGTCAGTTTTGCCAAGTGATCAAGTGCAGCATTAGTAATCGCGTGGCACATAACTGGGTTCTGATTGGATGGAAATGCATAATTTTAATACTAACTTTACAAAATTAATGTTATGTTTGTACCTTCTGCAAAGCTGAATTCTGCTGGTGAGTTTTGGGACCAGTTGCCAAAACGACAGTTTGCCAAAATGACTCGTGCATTATACTGGAGACGAGGTCTGACACAGTGGTGACCACATAAAAATCGACCGAGTTTTTGCTCTTCTGAGCTAACCACTCCAGAGCTCCTTGAATCTTCAATTATTTAAGATTAAAAGCATGAAATGGTAAAATTGAATTGAGATACCTCTGCTGCGGAATCTGGCTCTTCAGGCAACACAAAAACGTTGACATTAAATAACACCTTAGCTGAGCTAAGACGTTGAAGGGCACATTCCAGTTTTTTGCCCAGAGGTTGATCTCCAAGCATAAGGAGGGCAACAGGCACTGGTGGAGGCTCTAAGAGTAGCTGCTCTAGTCTGTCAGCTGCATCTGATTGATCTTTTACCACCAACGCAACAGCATTAGGAGTGCATTTGGTGCTCGTCAACCCAATGGACAGCTCAAATGTCATTATGAGATCATCATACAAAAATGTTGTGCTCCCCTAAAACAATAAACTTGATTTTTAAGTCTCCTGTGAAAATTACTATTCTACTCACTCCTTGATCAGAGAGTCGACCTCGAGCAAAGCAAAGCTCAGCCCAGGTCCTCAGATCGAAGTCTGCTGATGGAATTGAGACCAAGAGTCGCCACACTGTTGGAGTTACTTGGTAGTCCCCAACGAGGAGTGGGACAGGTTTGTTGACGACTTTCAGCATAGATGAAATGGAATTGGTGTCCACCAGAGGCAAGCTTTGAGTTCCAGTTGTTTGGAAACCTTTAATAAAAATTTATTTATTTAGATTAAATTTCATAAAAATAAAATATTGATGATATATCGATGATATATAAAAAAAAAAAAATATATATATTACTTGTCAGATTTTGAATCTCTTTCCTTGTCCAAAACAATGGATGCCGCTTGGGACTGACAACGCTCAATTCCGCTAACTGATCTGCAGTATTGAGTACAGATCTTCCTGCTGGGAATCGCTGCATCTTGGCTCTTCGCTCCTTGAGCATAACCATCAAGTCTCTCCACTTGAGCAACATTCGGCGTGCCCTGCACAGCAAAAGTTTCTCCGTCAACTCCTGGACTTGCTTCCTCCACAACAATTGCGCCTCCCTCAGCTCCTCGGAAGCCACCTTGCAGACAATTTCCTTCAGAGCTTCGTCCGTAACCCTGGCGTTTGTGTTTGTAACCCAGTTGTGAAGAATCTTCTGCCGTTGCAATTCTGCAGAGGCCAAACTCCGTGCTTCTTCAGCAACAACCTGATATACAAATTGATGCACAAGCTGGTCACTCTTCTTGCCGATTTCTTTTTCCCTCATCTTTTCCCTCTGCTTTAGTTCAAATACTTTCAGTTTTCTCAAATTTTCTTCTTTTTTGACAACTGCAAGCTCACTAGTGCAAATTTCCTTGGTATATTGGTCGATAGTCTGGATGAAATGAGTCTTCGTGATAGAATGAGCAATTTTCTGCCGCTTCGCATCTCGAAGCATTTTGGATGCAGTGTCTTGAACCTGAAAATAAACAGGTTTTAAACAAAAACATCAAAGAGAAAAATTCAAACTCAACAAGAAAATTAAAATGCCAGTATTAAAAAATTTACGATTAATATTACCAATAAAGAAACTCCTCTCGTAACAATGCTTTCCCAAGTTGCTTCTGCAATTCGGGCAACCTTTTGCGGATCCATGTGCGAAGCCACTTCTCTAGCAGCAGGTTTCAGTCCAAACAAAGACTGGGGTGTTGTAGGAATTGTTCTTGCAGGGACGTTGCTTGGTGTAGTTTGACCGAAGATCATTTGCGTTGTCTGTGGAAAGAGCGACTGGCTGGAAAAAATCCCTTTCGAAAGAGTGATGTTGCTGCTCGAAGGCATTTGCGCCACAGAAATTTCCTCCAGACTTGCTAAAATTTCAGGATTCAAAGTTCCTCTTGGGCCAAAACTAGACGCTGGCATGTTTGGTTCTTTATTGAAACTGGCAATGGGATATCCAGCGATGGCCTCAGCAAAAGTCACTTGCAGTTGACTCTCAACCAAATTTTTGGCTCTCCGGATGGGAATGCTAGTCTCTGGCTTCATGAAGGTTGTTCTTGAAAATAAGACCATGTCGGTAGTTGTGTCCAGGCCATGGTGCTGGCAGAACTCCGCTGCCTCGGAAATGTCTTCAAATGCTAGCAGTCTAACCAGGTTATCCAACGGAAACGCGAACGAAGACTTGACAGAATGGCAGAAGGACCTGATTAGGATTTCTAGGGCTTTTGAGCGGACTTGAGTGAAGTAACGCATTAAAATTGCTGCTGGCAGGAAACCCATGGTGCGGACCATTTTAAAAAAGCCCACAAAGTTGTGTGTGCTGAGAGAGAGATACACTTTGATGGCCTGTTTCACTGGTATTGAAGCTAACACATCAGGGCTTAATTGCTGGACCTAAACATAAAAAAAAAATTAAAAATATCAAATAATTTGTATCAAAGTTTAAAATTAAAAAAAGTGACGAACAAATTAATAAACTAAAATTTAAATTGGTAAACAAGGGGGAAATGGATGTAAATAATTCAGTTTAGACCTACCTCCCAAATAGCATCCCCAGTGTTTAAGTTGAGGAGTACTATATAAGCTCGGAACTCTGCTTCATTTTGACACGCTTTTCCTTCGAGACTCATGTCGTGGTACAGATGTTTCAAGGTCTGCAGACATTTTGCCAAATTCTCCGTGTTTATCTTTGGTTCAAAATTTTTGACATTTTCAGCAGCAAGTCTGGCAGCGCAGGCAATGTGGAATCTAGCGCATTGTTCCAGGAGAACAACCGCATCTTCGTTGCAGAGCTCCTGCTGCGTCACTTCCTTGCGAATGGCTCTGGTTCGGTCCCAGAGGAAAAGGAACCATTCTCCTAAATGCTCTCCAGGAAGTTCGACCCTGGGTGCTATATGGGAGAGCAGGTAATTCATTGTCATGCGGAGGACTGGTGATGGTCGAAGCTCATGAGCAAGGGGAAGTTCTTGGTCAGCAGAGCTTCTCGAGTATTGCTTCACAAAGAATTGGTGGTTTAGCTCTCCATCTATGATCTCATACTGAGAAACTTGATGTCTGTCTATTCTTAAAAATCTGTAAAGAAAATAGAAGCATAAGAATGAAAATTACAAATAAATTGCCAAGTGACCTTTCTTTTTCTGGACACATATCTGGACATGTTCCTATAGTTTTTGTTGCAGAGGCTAAGTTGGAGCTCTTCACCCTCTTCTGTCGGATCAGCTTGTCCCGAGCTTCGAGCACAGCCAGCTTGTCCTCAATCGAATTTGCCACTTTCTTTGCAGTTGATAGCAATGTCAATGTTTCTGCAGGGAGTTTTGTGTTCATTTTAGGAGCCTGTACAGACAACACAGCCGGTTTGCTGACACTTGAAGATCGAACTTCAGTCGGGGGGTTTGTCTGAAACTGAACGTCCGGCTTGGCAGTTGTGCCAAAGATGGACTTCTGGAATTCTGGCTGATTTAGGCTAGCTGGCGGTAATCCAAAAAGTGGCTTTGGCTTATCCGAAAGTTGGAAAAGCTGAGGTGGGTTTTCTTTTGGTTGGAACAAATTGCGACTTGGAGACTGCTGGCCAAACACACTTGGCCTGCCAAAAGGATTGGGTGGTGCTTCACTCTTTCCTGCAAATGGGTTGCTCGAAATGTTTTCCACGCGGGGCTGCTTAGATGGGCCTGGTTCATCCCTAATAATAAGATAAGAAATAATTTTCCAGCAAAATGCATATTATTAAATTTACCTTCGTTCTGAAGTGACATATCCTCCTTGCTGGGACATACTTTGCAGTTCTTCTTGAACATCTTGGGCTGCGCCTGATGCGGTTGCCTTTTTTGTAGGAGAACCAGATGTGTCCAAATCCAATGATTTCCTTGGCTGCACTTGCGACCAAAACAGCTGGAAACTCTCTGGAAACCCTTTCGCGGCATTTCGTTTGGCAGCAGATGCTTGTTCCTGTGGATTTTATAAAACGTTTACAAATTTTGAAAAATATTATGATCTGGAAACACACATGAGTTTCAAAATGAACTTGCGCTGAATTTTTTGCAGCAGTAATGTTTATCTTTGTGACTGTCCCAAATTGGGAAAAATGCCTTTTGAAGGAAGCCTTGTCCAAAAGTTGCGGAGGAACATTCAAACACACAAGGCTGCGGATTTTTTTCAATCTCTCTGGCGATGTCATCTGGCGGGCATGTGGTGGCACATAAGCCTTATTCATTCCGACTAGAACAGAACAGGGAATAATTATTAAAATTAATGTGGAACAAACAAAAAATGAACTGGACAAAAAAATATTACATAAACCGACACATGTAACATAGCACACACAATCATGTTTTAAAATGTTCATAAACTCACATTTTCTATTCATTCTGAAGTATTTTTTCTGCAAGACAATTCAAAATGTACTAAAAAATAATCATAGTTACATATGCAACCGACTACTCAAAATTCAAATTTGCACAAACTTGTCGTTGAAATATGATTAATAGTTGGAATATTTGTGCTCCTTGCATTTGTGTTTGTTTACAAAAGGAATCTGAGTTCAAAAAGGCTCAAATAGGGGGCGCTAACCGTCATCGCGGGACTTTCAAAAATCAACATGGCACCCAGAATCTGATGAAAAAAATACGCCCACTTTGGCTTTTTGTGTCCGGAACAAAATATTTTAATTTCTGTGCAGCAATAATAATGGTTTAAATTTTCTATTAAATTTTGTTAAATTGATATTTCCATATTACGTAAGTTTCGTCAGTTTTATTCGCTCATCTGATATTAATAATAATGATTGATGTATTTAAACGATTGATTTATATTTTAATCAAACACAGATCGGCATGATTCGTCTGAGGAGCAGCTCCTGCTTTGCTGCCATCCGGCAACTACGGCCGATGAGCACGTCCGCAAACCCTGAAGAATACAGTCAAGAGCCACAGTACCCACCAATCAAAGACATCACCTGGAGAGGACGTCGGAAGGATGAGGCCGAAGCGTGGCATGAAAAAATACAAAATCTGGATACCGTCGAGGAGAAGCTGATCGAAATCAATATTCCTCGATACTACGGCTGGAAGTGCCACATGCTGACGGAAGGTGACATCAAATATAACACCCTGGCTCTTCACCAGCACATCACGCGCACTCATTTGGTCAACGGCCTTCCTGCAATCTACAACAGCAACGAGATCGAGGCTGCGGCCCAACAGCATGCAGCGGAAATAAAATCTGAATTTGCAGACACCCTTGCTTTTGAATGGAACAGACAAAGCGACCTCAGCGAGGATGCCAGTCCCAGGGAAATGGAAAAAGTCAGGACGCAAAGAATCATGGAGAGTTTAAACTCGATATTGATTTCAAATCTCCGAAAGCACTTGCCCCACCTTAAAGACGTAGTCGTTGACCCACAGCCAAGGTTGGAAGCTGCCTGGAACGTTGGAGGATTCGAGCTGGAGCAAAAGACGAAAAATCTTTTTGAGTTGAAAGACGATTTCAAACCGTTGCTGACGTGGCCCCGAGATCGTCGATTTCAGTACATTGGCTCGCCAGTCTTGCAAGTTCGAGCCAATCACCCTCTGGAGCCTATACTTGGAGAGCAAGAAAGCACCAACGCCCAGTTGGAGGTACCGCACCACGAAGCTGATCCCCGAGTCCATGGAAACTTCACTACCAGGAGATATATGACAATGATCCCTGGTAAAACATTTGCTTCTTGTGATATTTTAAGAAACTAATTTTAATAATCTGTAGGTGTTTGGCCTGGCGATGATCATCGATTTGGCACCATCTCCTTCCATGGCCGAGATTATCAGCTCACTGAAAAACTTAAAAGCTTCCCAGAGGAGGACAAAATTGAGGCTCTTCATTCACAAGCCATCCTTGCCTCATTCTCCTGGCTTTTCTCTCAAGCTTGTTACTTGGGTATTAATTTTTATTATTACTTACATCAAGTTCCTTATTCACAGTTTTTCTCTCAGGATTTTCCACCTTCAACGATGTGACATATCCCCTGGTATCACAGACAGTCATCAGCAACGGCCAGCACTGGTCATTTTACACTTACCAACTAAACACGCTTTTACTTCACTTTGAAAACACCTCCAAAAATCCAAAGCGAAATATCTGCTGGAGTTCACAGCCTCTAAAGTTATTTGAGTCGATCGAGAATGGAACCATCAATGGTAAGATAAAACAATCAAGAGCTTAAAGTTCTTGTCATTAATTTGATTTTTCAGGTTTTAATGATGAAGTCTTGAAGACACTAGTGAAATTCTATATGAATGAGCCCAGAGAGAGGAAAGGTGTTGAACTTACTCCTTACTTACATCCTGAGGTGCCTATGGTCATGAAAATAGAGAATGAAGACAAACGTGTTTTCCTGGAGGATTTGTTCAAAAAGATTTGTCGCAATGGAAAGAAGACCGACCCCGATCCAGAGTACTGGAACTGGGAATGGATCTACAAGATCAAGTTCAAGACAAGGCCTCACGAGGCAAGACGAAGACCATTCGAGTTGTGGCAAAATCCTTGGAGAACTACATTTAACGAAACTCCTCCTAAGTATGTGCCGAAAGCCCTCAGAAAAGACCCCAAGGACAGAAGACAAAAGTTCGAGAAGACCTATTACCCTTAGAAATGTTGGGCAGAAAATAAATAGTTGAATTGGAAAATTTACATTTGGAAACCTTTTAATAAAAAATCCTTGCAGGAATCAGAGACATTATTGTCATCCTATAAACTTCCACAAATATTTTAATATTGATCTGTTGTCTAATAACACATCGGGGATAAATTATTCTAAGGATAATTCATTTTTGCTTTCAACATGAGGTATGGGTCTGTCCACAACACCGCTAAAGCGCAAGCTGGCTGAAGCGGGCCCATAACAATAGCATTGCGACCAGCTACCGACAGCCTCGTTGTGGATAAGCCTTATGCAACCGGCTTGGCACAGTTGTTGAGCTCGTTGCCGACTCTCTTTTGCCAGGCGGTGAACCGCCCTTTTTTGTCCAGCATTATCGATATGAAAAAAGCACAATTTTATGATAGGAATACATTTTAGTTTTGAAAATGGCACATTTTCCATCAAGCACGCGCACTCTTTTTCATGCAAGCCATTTTGGGAATATTACATTTCAGAGAGACATGCCGAAGGGTGTGTGGAGATGGATGTGCGGAGACAAGTTGATGTGTTTTCGGCATCTCTGATCTGCTCACTAACCGGATTAGTCTCTGGTGCTGATGGTTCTGAATTGTAAATCACGCGCGCCGCCGGAGAGAGCAAGGAGGCGCCAAGCTCTCCATTTCACCACATAGTAAGCGACAAGCAGGAAACGTTCAGCAAAAAATTACTAAAATTCATGTATGTCCCTGGCTAAAAAAAAAAAGTTTATTCGTACATAGTTCTTGCGTATGCTATAATGGGAAAAGAAATTTTGCCCGATGAATCGCTTTCGCATCACTCGTCGTTTATTTATTTTGAGTGTGGATTACGAGCTGTGCCGCCGCCGCTCACGCAAACACAACAAGGACCGCGTGCTGTACATATTATATATGTCATAATGCATAACGGCTAAGCCTCTTAAGTTCTCTAACGTTATATCGCACCGCCATACTACGCATAGCTGCATGCGGCGCATTCAGCTGTGTGGTGGTGAACGGAGATATTATATTTAACACTCAAAATCGCTCTCCTCTCTGAAAATCCTCGCATCAAATTGGGCGAGAATTATGCCAAAATACGCCTTGATCCAGGGAAATTCAGTTCAATAAATTTGATTCTACACACATCATTTAATATCTTCTCTTTTAAAAAATCTCATGTAAAAATTAGAAATTAGTTTGGAGGCATCATTAAAAATTAATCAAGTTTATCAAGTCCAAATTATAAATAAAAAATGGAAGATATATGTTTAATTAAAAATTTAACAGCTATTTGAAAATTTCAATAAAATATTGAACAATAATAATTATGCAGTGTGTGTTTTGCTACTTTGATAACAATTACTAAAACAATTTGATAATCGTATTATTATTATTGGAGTAGTTTTTTTCAGCGCATAGAAGGTCTTGGTTTTCTAAAGCCTCACACAGTCATACTGCTAAACGTGTCAACACTGGCTCATTGTCAGAGCGAATTTCTTTGCCAGTAGTTCCATAAGGCTATATTTTCCGATATTCTCAGCATCTTTCGGCGGCGTATTTGATAGGAATAATATGCCGCCAAAATGCTCCTTTTCATATTATGTATTATGACGTGAAAGAGCAGAACATTGGAAAAACTGTAAAATTACAAGCATCTGCACCAGATCAAATATTATCTAAAAATAAGAAGAAAAGAGAAAAATTTAATTGAGAATCAGAATAATTATATTGTTTCTTTTTTTTTAGAAGTGGGTTTAAAACACCGGGACCCGGTGCGATGCTGGCGTCAGTATTAGTTTACTCGAACCTAGAACGACCGCGAAAAATAATTCTACCCATCTCATTAACCCACTCCCTTTAAAATGGCTGTTCCGTTAATTAATATTGAGGGCGATCCAAAAACCTAACCTGGCCCAGGCTTACTTGACTTAGCCCCGGGCTAACTTAGCCCACCAGCAAAATTGAATGGCGGGTTAAATTAGCCCAGGCCAGGTCAAATTAGCCTGGGCCAAGTTAGCCTTTTGGATCGACCTCATTATTATTAAAAACAATAAAATTATTTTAGACTTTCTGTAAAAAAATCAACTTCTTCAAATTGAAAAAAAAAATACAATTAGGCACCAGGCGGTTCTCTGTTATAAGATGAAACGTCATTATTTTTCACAAAAGGAGACGTAGGGGGAATATTGTTTCCAGTCATGCATTACAAAGTCTAATTTGACAGTCGACATACTCGCAAGCAACGCAATTTGTCGCGCACCAAAACCATCCGTCTCCACAGCTTGCAAAGGACAAATTTCTGCGCCATTCGGGGCGAGAGTGGAGCGTTTTGACAAATTGTTTTCATACACAGTTTGAAGTGGAATTGTGCGTCAACTGTTGATGGTTATGAGCGGCGGGATAAATTTTGTGTCCAGTTTGAGCAGCACAATAATTTAATATGGGCCGAGATTGCCGCGCAAGACGCGACCGCAGCTTTTGTCATTCAAATGGCCGAGCAGCTGCTTTTCTACATAAATATGCACACACAGCGTCATAAATAATTCCAGCAAGCAAGGTCATATCATAAGAACTGCTATTTTGTCCCACGATTTATGGCTCCGAGTTATAGTTGATGCTCGTAAATCACGGCCCAATAAATCAGTTTAGCTCGTTCAGCACAGCACTCGCCAGTAAACATAATTTTATTCCGTGCGCAGTGCTTTTAATCCCAGAAAAAATGGTGCAAACCGCTGCAAAATGTGCTTTGCTGATGATGGTAATTAATATAAATAGCGTGGCTTCTCCAGCGTCGTTTTGTTTTCAGCTCGACTCGGTTTGAAATGAGCCTCTTTTTCTCTTTTCCTTTTTTTTTAGCTCAAAAAAGTTCTTTTGTTTGTTCCAACAAAACTCACTCGAATCAAATATTTACGCGGAAACTCGATCTCGTAAATTTTGCAATTAATTTCTCGGGAACCTTTTTTAGGTAAAAAAGACAGACAAAGCTGGATAGGTTGGAAATTGTCCCTTGGGTTGCGAATTAAATTCGGTTCCGCTCTCATTGCAAATGCACGGTTGCTTTCGTTGTGCCAAACCAGATAGAATTGTGGTCAGCACGCGGTCACAAACCGCAGTTGGAGCAAAAATCAGCTAAAAATGGCGACAGTAGCAGGTGCGGTGTGGAGAATTATTAAAATTGGCCGGCGCCCTTCGGGGATGAATAATTAAGGGCGCTCGCCGCTTTCAAAGGATCAAGACAAAGTAACTCGGCATTGTGCGCCGCCAGAGAGAACATTGTTCGGGTCTTATTCAATATTCATCGGGCAAGGGTCAAATAATGAAGCGAGACGTGCACCGTAGCCAAGTGCTGGCGGCGGCTGCGAAGAGACCAGCAATTACAAACGCACAGACCATCAAACCCCTTCTGTTTCTGCAAACGCTGCGTCCCCGCGGTTTGTTGTCAACGAAAAACCTACATAATCCAAAATACAAGTTTACTGTTTCCTATTTTTCTAAAAAGTTTTTTAGTTTGCGCCTGTTATGTTTAAACAAGTAAAATAGTTAAATTTAAAATTCTGGGTATTTAACTAATAACGGTTAGTTTTGATTAATTTAATTGATCAATTTAACATGATCAATTTTAATGCGCAGCAATTTGTTTTCAAAAATTCCAATGTGCATTTATTTATTTTTTAAATTTTGTAAATTAAAATGGTTAAATTTAATGCTATTTTTTTTATGTTCCCGATAAATTATTAATTGTGAATTTTAAAATCAAATTTAATCTATTATTGTAGTTTTAAGGACTCCTTATTGACATAGTCAAATCAAGTCTTTACAACAATGGTTTGTTATATTCTCAATAATTGCCCAAAATGGCTTCTATTGTTGTAAAGACTTGATTTGACTATGTCAAAAAGGAGTTCTTAAATGAGCTGCTTCCATCAACTGTTTTAAATTTTGAAGGTGTCCAGAAAAAAAATTAACTATATGGAAGGTTGCTATTTTTCAAATGAACAATTCTATCTTATGAAAATGTGATATTTTCTCTGACACGCTCTACTTCAACTTTTTGTTGGTTAAAGCGAGATTTAAAAGATGAAAGTCTCAGTATCAAACTTTTCCGTCGCAAGCTATGTAATTATTTTGTTTCATTCCCAGAGCGGAAAGTTTGATGCACAACTCAGTGCTAAGTGCTTCCAGAGGCAATTCCTCTTGCTTTCGACTCTTCTTGCAAGTCAAGGAATTCCAATAATATCAAGAAGAAGTCAGAGTCGTCTTCCTTTGCTCCAGCTGCAAATTACTTTTAATTTAATTGGAAGCCAAGGTACGGCGTTGGTAATTTCATTTTCCCATCGCTATTCTTGACAGCTTTTAATGTGCATGCATTCTTACTTACAAAGCGAACAAACACAATGGAGTTTATTTTCTCTGGAGGCCGCCGGGTGGAGAAGCTTCTCATTCACTTATTCCATTTCGAAGCGCGCTGCGAAAAATTCGCTCCAAATTAAGAAAGGACACATTTGCTTCCGGGCGTAGGAATTTTTTCCTCGAAATGTGCTACTTAAAAACCGCGGGCGTGAAATGCCAAATTGAGCCAGACATTGTGGAAATTACACAATTTCTTGTCTCGCTTCGTTCCCCTCACTTTGCCTTTATTGACCGGAGTTAAGTTTTACTGGCTGAATTATCTTAATGAGAATTTTGATTGGGCTCTCGCAACCGCACTTTGCAACATCCTCTCATTCCAAATTCAAATGAGCCCATTTTCCCATCACTCTATCTTCCCAGCATGTTGAAATTGCAAAATGGGTTTTATATAAATGTTTTATCCTTTGCCGTGCTGTTGGAAAGTTCGTCCTTTTGCTGAAATTTTCATTGGAAAATGGTGAGATACAATTTCCTGTCCATTCAATGTTTAATTTTAAAAGGGCGGGAGAGGATTTTTCACATTAGGGCCAAGTATTTTTAAATCAATGTAATAAAAATTTTGCTTCATCTTTAGAATTAAAATCAAACAACTATTAATTTACGTAACTGTAGTAAAAAAA